ACCCATTGCATTTTGAGGATACCGAATGGTATAGTGACTTGTACATTGTAATCAGGCCCAATTTTTCCGTTGTATTGCTTTGCACGCTGTATAACTCTGTTGTCAAGATCTTCGCTTTGATGGTTCTTCCAAAATATAATAGTTTTGAGATAAGAAGTACAAACTACTACACACAAGTTCATTTAGGCAGGTCAATGACTTATATTTTAACAAAGGAGAAAGGTTCAATATCCACAGGGATAACCAATCGGGATTAATTTGTACATTAATATGCATACCAAGAACCGCTGACGGACTTCCCATGAAGGACGACGCTGTAAAGAAGAGTGAAGAGTTACAATTAATTTTTTTGGTTCATGGGACCTGGAATTCCGTCTTTGCGTATTGCAGAGTTATCTTCTCTTGTGAACAGGGATTGATTGTTACGTCATTGGTTTGTGCGAGAAAATTACGTGGTTTTCTCAAAAATTGATGACGTTACTCTCACAAACAAGTGACGTAACAATCAATCCCTGCTCTCAAGAGAAGATAACTCTGCAATACGCAAAGACGGAATAGGAAAATTAGTATTGCAATTAACCAAATTATGGGAGTGTTTCCCAAATTTTACTGAAAATCAACTTTTTTTACAATTTTGTTTATTAATGATAAAAATTGAGAAATTTTAAAGATATTCTCTGGAAAATAAACCTGTAGTCTAAGGAGTTGTGGAATGTTTACCAAATGTTATGGCTATAGGCATGTTGCTGAATGTTATCAATTTATATTTGACTAAGGCTTCTTTTCTTCCTGTGGGACTAGTTGCGCTCGCAAACATGTGTTTTTTAAGAAGAAAATTCTAAAATGCAAATTTAGGCCATATTGTAACTCTTGTTAAAATGGATAATTGGTCTGACTTTATTTATAAGGGAATCTGCATAAAGAGGTGGATGTGAGGGAGGGGGTGTCCCTTTTTCTTTGGTTGATTCTTAAAGGAGATGCGGGGTTGGGTCACAAAAATAGATGATGGGGGGCTGAAAGGCTTTTCATCTGCACCTCAGTTCAATACACCCCTCCCAAACAGTTTGACCTGGCTACACATTATTTTCCCCAAGAGAATACACCTCAAATATTGCTGCAGGCTAATTAGTTTCCACATACAGGTATACAGTACCCAAGAGAGTTCAGAGATACTCGCACTAATACAAGGGTCTTTTGTTTAAACAAGATCGGATGTAAAACTAGATAAGTTGAAATCTCAAAAGTACACCTAATTATGTGAAAGGTCAGTCATCAAGGGCGTCTAACAGAAAATATACGCCTAAGGGCCAAATATCAATAGATCCAAGATCATACAATCAGTTAATTAAAAGCTAGAAGTCATTTTGATGGGCACGATAATTGGTCACACAAAAAAGTGATATTTTGCCAAAAGATACAAAAAAAAGGCAATCAATATCAAAACTCATTGAATCAGAGAGTACACCTACACATCAGTATCAATTTGACAACGTGATCAACGCAAAATTTGCCATAATGAAGAAAATATATTGGACTTACTCAAATGTCAGTCCATGAGGGTTGACAGCGCGGGAAGAAGTGACGCGAACTTCGAGCTCGTTCTATGTACATGTGACCAAGTGCATTTTCATTGGTCGAGAGGTTAGCACGAACTCAGTTTTCGTACTAAATTCAATGACGCCAGGATCGAGGGGCCATTCAGAGGTGCAGTTATTAATAGGTATCTCTGCGGATGCACATTTAATGAAAGATTACTTCGTGAAGAAACACCGAAATAAGTGTCTTTTCTACAAGAAATATCAACCGTTTTAGTATCCTGTTGTTTTCCTCATACATGCAATTTTACAGACTTTTTGTCCCTACACGATCCCCAGCAAAGGTTTGGTGCTGTCCTTTGCAAAATGTAACTCCTCTGGTACTTTTTAACAAATTATTTACAAGACAACATCAGACAGTGTAAATATATTGCATTTAAATAGATATAAACCAGGGATACAAAAAGTTACTAAAATGTCTCTAAAATCCTAATTTCAGCAGAGAGTGTAATATATACGTCAGTAAACATTACACATATCGGATACTAAAGAAAAATAAATGATTCTAGTCTCAAAACAATGCATGTATATATATATATATATATAATATAATGAAACGTCTGTCCGCTTCAAATGGGAAAATATGCACAAAGGTACATATATGTGGCAGTGGCACGGTAGACCACATGGTTTCATTTATTTTAGTTAAATAATGTTCTCGTTCTCGTAAATAGTTGGAAACATGATATTGAATATCATACAGGGGTGGGTCCATGTATTCCGAAAAGTGGAGGCCCAGTTCTTTTTGTAGTTTTCGGTGTCCACTTGTCGGCCCCCCCCCCCCCCCTCCCAGTCGTGAAAAAAATTAATTATCGATGTGTGGAAACTAGAAAAAATAGTATTTTGATACATAAAAGTCAACACATTGAATTGTATGCAACATGTTGACATAAACATATCATCAACATCGACTAATTACGTGTACATAGTTCTGTCTGTTAGAACTACCTCGAGGATTGACCAAATAAGCTGTATGCAGGGACAAATGAAATGGTAAGTTTTAGTATTATTTGTTAAAATGAATGACCTTGACTTATATTCAAGGTCACAGGGATCAAATATGTTAAAATCTTTAAATGACTTATTCTGAATACCCATGAGGCCCAGAATGTTGATATTTGGCCAGTAGCATGCCTGTATGACAGGCTATCAAGGTTTTTCATTTGAATGTTCTTGTCCCACTTTCAAGGTCACATTTGGTCAAATTTAAAAAAATAAATAGGGTAATGATATTTGGCAAGTTGCATGCTGAGATGAAGGCTATAAAGTTTGCTCAACGTAATGACCTTGTTTGACTTTCAATGTCACAGGGGTCAAATACTTTTAAATATTTTAACATGTTCTTTTGAATGACTTTTAGTCATAAATACTGATATTTTGCCTGTAGCTTTATTTTAGTCCTCTTTAAAGGTTACAAGTGTGAGATTAATACCAGGTGAGCGATGCAGGCCCATTGGGCCTCTTGATTAAACGAAGGATTAGATATTACTGGTGAGTTCATTGAAAACAAAACAAAAAGAAAATCCCAGTTTTTCCAATTGCTTTCGACTTTGGTATCGGTACCATCGATTATTTTTTCTGCTTATTTATACTTTCGAACTTTCCAATACGACTGCCTTCTTCTGTATTTCCGATAAAGAAACATGGAATTCTCATACATGTGCATGCTCAACAACATTGCTGTCAGATGACGTGGATATTTTAGATTGCTGTCTATTTTGAGTATTTTCCATTCCGTGACTTGTTCTACAACGATCAATATCAATATTTACCAAATATTGTCACTCGTAACTCGAACTGTAGGCGACCGTAAATGAAAGCAGATATGCACTTTTTTATTCATAACTTATTTTTTTAATCACATACGAAATCTGGTCAGAAGGAGAATGCGTATATAGGCCTACCGGGTGATGAGAGAGTTACGAATCGAAATCAGCTGTTGGTATATAGGCCATGCATGTTGTTTAATCTTTCTTTTGAAACAATAAACTATCTCGAACGATATCTGGTCGTTGACAATATTACTGTATTAATATAAAGCTCCAATTTGACAATCGTTCACTGGTTGATCTCTTATAGAACTAGATCCTCAACATTTTTTTCGTGATAATTTGTGTTGGAAGCAATTTAAATAATACTGAAAATAATCAGGGGTAAATCATACGTAAAGCCCAACCAAGTAGAAGTCGTTAATTAGATAACCCGCCTTTAGAAACAGAAAGGGGCCGCGGTGGTTAAGGCGTCTGACATTCTGCTACCACTAACACTCCACCACTGGGTCGCAGGTTCGAACCCTATACGTGGGGCAGTCGCCAGGTATTGACCGTAGATCGGTGGTTTTTCTCCGGGAACTCCGGCTTTCCTCCAACACCGAAACCTTGCACGTCATTAAATGATCGTAGCTGTTAATGGGACGTAAATATCAAACAAACAAACAAAACCAATTAAAAACAGAAATGATCAATTCCAAGAAGAGTTACAGTGTAGAGAACAAAAGGAGCTGCATTATCTGAGGAGAATTGCATGTCTTGGAGACCACAAGACTATGGCCGTATGTATTTATAATCAAGCATTTTAAAGTTCGGGTGGCACGATTTTCCTCTCATATTTGAGAACTTGTTACAGCTATAATTGGACCTAAACAATTAATTTTATATGTTTTAGAGGTTTAGATATATCATCAATAAGAATCGGTGCGCACTTCCATCCGAGCAAACAAGAGTGGTTCATTTAAGCAGATTAAACTTTTATTTATTGTCAAATATATTCTATGACTTATAAGTCGTAATAGATGTATAATGTAAATTTTAGACCGCTGCCTATAGAGACGTATATAATATAGACTATATACTAGCTTTACTTTATAAATGCATACATGTACGTCTCTGAACTACTCGAACACGAGTGCTATCTGCCTCAGAATCGGTCTATTAATACACACATATATGATTCAGATATGTCTACAATCTGTCAATGACAACCGGTAAAATAATTTCCTAATTTGTTTCAATAATAGTAACATATGTAGATAGACCATTTTGTCATCCTTGTACTGCTGCACGTCAGAGACGTATATATTACATAATACGTCTCTGTGCACGTGGACGATGACAACTTAATGTGTCAACTTCAGCCAGAGCAGAGACGTAGAGACATATAAAGCCATAGTATATATATATATATATACGTCTCTGCTTCAGGCTCAGACTGCTTTCATGATAAACTTTCATTGTTTCAGAGGTACTGTTTACATAATTTACAACCTAGCACATACACCAAGTAAAAATATTCCATAACTGTACCAACACGACCGTAAATTTAGTATTGTAATTTCCCGCCACAGTAAATCTTATCACGTGATTGATCTTGTGACAGTCATGTGTTCATGCGCAAAACTTCCTCTGCACACCATCATGGCGGCGGCCATATCAAGGAAGAAAACAAATGCCATGTTTTGTTTACGTTACGTATTTTCAATTAGTTTCTTGCTGGCAATAAGTCTGCATGGGGGATATTGTGATCAAACACCACAAGACTGTGTTTTTGGTGGCTCAGACTTCTCTTTGATCAAGCAGTAAGTAATTTCTATCTTTGTGACGGTCTTCCAATTGATCTCAGTTAATCAGCTGACACTGGTTATATCAGAATCGTTTATACTACTATATGGCTTTATATGTCTCTGGTAATATGTACAACCATGACCACTGGCATGATGTTGTAGACATCTTGCTTAAAGTTACACTGAACACATGTAAGCTTCTGTATTACGTGACATTTAAAAGGCCTGTTTCTATGATACAATCACAAGGGTATGCAATAACAAGAAATGCAGCAAAGCTGTTGGACACCAAATAATTTTTGACTTACTGACAGTCCAACAACCAGGATCGAGGTTACGGATCATGCATACTTGAATTTGTTGAATTATAATTACAAATAATGAATATAAATTGTTAATGGCAATAGTTTTGTCGTTCAGAATATTCTGTTCACGCTCGAATTCAGGTCGTTTCGGTACTTCTGAAAGTCGTTTCGGTACTTATGTAAAAAACATTTTGGTACCAAGTTATGGTCAACGTCACCATTATTTCAATAATTTCTAAGTATAGCGGGACATATATATAACATGTATATATAATGTATTAAGAATAATTAATTAAGAATAATAATAAGAAGGAAACACATCACAATAACAATAGGTATTTCCATCCAAAATGGAACGCTGTCACACTGAATACGCGTACCAGCCGAAGACATGATGACAAGTTGGTGAATTCCCTCAATGTTGAGTTTCTCCTAAAGAGCTTACTCCGATCTACTCAGCTGCTCAGTTAAACTACGAAAGCAAACGTTATATAAACAACCAACTATAAATAACAAATGAGAAATATTTATTAACTAATAAAGGAAGTACCGAAACAAATTAAATACAGGTACCGAAACGACTTACAAAGAGTACCGAAACATCTTCTTTTTGAAGTACCAAAACTACAGGGTACCGAAACGACTGTACCCCTTCACGCTCAATGTCCAAACATTTTGCACTATTTTCACTCAATAATTGTCCCACTGCTCGCAAATGTACATTTGTTATTGCATTTTTAAATGTAAACGATTTGGTTATGACGTCATCTTCTGAGAAAGAGAAGGGACATAACATGATTTACATAAAATAACATTTACACCTCTTTTTTTACAAATATTTCTTTTAACAATGTATCTTTGGATAAGATATCAACCGTCGTCTTGATTAAAGTGTCATGTGTAGCCCCCCTTTGAATAATAGTTATTACTTCTCGAGACTGCTACGAAGACAGATTTTGTCACCAATGCCGAACGTTATTTTGTTGGTAATCGCATAATAGTTTTATACAATTGAAATAAATATGTTGTATTGAACGGGAAAAACTATGAAATTTTCTTTTTCTAACATTTTTTTCACTTCACCCAATGCAAATATTGCTACATCAGAAAAGCGCGGGAATGTGTAGCATATTTTTTGACGCCAAGTTTTAATGACATCACGCTTGACAACAATAAAGAGCGCCATTGCATCTATTATCTGGTAAGATTTCCAGACAAAAATGATATTAATTGTGTTGTTTTGTAAAAACAATAATGTATGCTGCAAATGGTGTCAGGTCGTTTCGGTAACAAGACGAAAGTCGTTTCGGGACTTTTTTGGGTCGTTTCGAGACATGTCAAAAGTCGATTAGGATTTTTTTCTGTAGATACCATTGTCTTTTTTCTTTAAACATATTTTAATGTCAACTAAATTCCAAAATAAAATGCTTCAAACATTGTTAGAATCAATGTTAACTCATTCATCTCTTAATGTCAATAATGGAGGAAATAGTGAATTGAAAACATATTATTACGATATCAAACAAGGAATCAACCTATCAAAAACGAAAGAAATTGAATGTCGAATTTCATAAGTTCCTCTAGATCTGTACTTGATAATGAAATCAGTTTCACCAGGTAACAACACACTGTCAATCGGGTAAATGTTGGTAGGTATCCCCTCAAGCACTAGCATTCTGTTAACACTAATGATCCCAAGCACGGGTAAGTCGTGACACAGGTCATAGACTAAAACCATACTTTTATGTGTATCTACAAGACTTTTTATGAACACGGAGCAAAATGTAATTTATAAGTGAACATTTTTATGTCCCAAAACGACTTGATTAAGTCCCGAAACCTTTTGTGTCATGTCCAGAAACGACTTTTGGACTCCCGAAACGACTTGTTACCGAAACGACCTGTTACCGAAACAACTAGCATTCCTGCAAATCAGACTTCACTAAACTTGAAACTTAAAATCTAAGCAGAGAATAGAATGTATATTACTGATGAGATTGGACAATACTTAGAGTGACTTCTTCACATGTGAAGATATAATATTTCGTATTTTTTCACTGTATTTGAGATTTGTTTTTATGAAATTGTGAATTCATGATATTTCACTAGTAAATGTAACAAATACGGATACCGTAAGGTTAACTATCATATTTTTGTAGACAGTATGCGGCCTCAATTTTCCAGAAGCTTGAGGCTTTCATGCATGACGAAGCACCGGAGGTGGACAAAGTGTTTACAGATCAAACCCCGGCAGCGCTTTACGCCGCTTGGGGGTTTGAAAAAAAAAAATGGTTTTATTATAACAACATCACATTTAAAATTACACTGTATTATATTATTACAGGTTTAATCCCTGGCCAATGTTATCCGAGGATGGGAACACAACCTATCAGATCAGTCTTTGTGAGGCAATCAAACCGCATCAAGGTGGAGATTGTCACGACCAGACTTCTATCTGTAGGACAGTCAAGGGGGAATCGCCAAAGTCTTCGGGCAACTTTACACACATGGCAGCTGCTGATAACACTCAAGTCTCTGAACAAACACTTGTCTTTCAAGGGGATGCATGTCCTGATGTAGTCGATGGCCATTATGTTACAATGATCACCTTCCAGTGCAGTTTAAATGTGGTAAGATACTCCTTTTTGTTATAATTGTAAATGTATAATAACAATTTACTATTTTTTGTAACTTTTATATCATAAGTATCAATCATGCATTGGCACTACTAGAGAGGACTTCTGGTATATATGTAGCTTTGCAATTCTGCCCAATGCCCGGGACAGGCAGTTTTATCGCTCAGGCAAGTGCAAAAATTTTGAGGCTCTAATATGCATCTTATGCTTGTACAAAGTACCTGCTAAGGAAATTCCCTTTGTTTACTTGTTTACTGTATGAATTTTACCAGCTAAGAAAATAAGTAGCCTGTAGCATTAACAGTTTGCAAACCTGACAATTTATAAAAAAAAAGAAAAAAAAGATGAACTCTTCAATGAATGTTATGAAACATAATCTACACACTATTTCAGGGCCTAGGTTCACCTGAATTCCTGGTGTACTCGCTGTGTACAACGTATGTGCTGTGGCGCACAAATGTGGTTTGTAACGACACCGAGCGGGCTGTGAAGGAGGTCCCTTGTTATGTGTATGACCATCTCAACCAGAAACACAACCTTGCACCGCTCACAAAGAAAGACGGTGGCTACCTGGTGTCGTCCGAGGCAGGCTGGAACTTTTATATCAATGTGTGTAAAGACATTAAAGGAATTACAGAAATTCCTGGCGGAGACCCAGGTAAGAGGTCAAACTGTAGTTCAAAGTTCACTTGGTGGCTTGGAGGAGAGTTGAGAGGTTTTTTTATTCCCCTTCTTATAAATACGTATGTATATATATATGTGCTTCTGTCAAGCTTGGTAGATATGAGGTAAACTTGATAGTTGAGATGTTTTATAAGCACTGTAATTATATAACTAGTCACCTTGTCTGATGGGCTGTTAGCTATATAGTCAGGCATAACTTAACATTGGTAATACATCATGCTGAATCTTTTTATCCCCCTTCTTATCAATACGTACATTTTTTTGTATGTATATATATGTTGCTTGAGTTTTGCTTCTGTCAAGCTAGGATTAAATATCTTTAATGGAATTCATGTTCTTTGAATATACTTAATAAAACATGGATAACTTGCAAGTTGAATACATATCATTGATTATGTGACTGTTAAAGTTCTCGTTCTTCACCTACTCACCATCATTGATTCAAAATTTTATTTAAATAACTTATCCATTAGATGCTGCATTTTGTTATTTTACCTGCAGATGAAAAGACAAAGATGTGCCCACCAGGGGCTGGTGCCTGTCAGATCAATACACGTGGTTCAGGAACAGCATTAGGGATGGGAGACCCTAAAGACAAGCTTCAGGTTGCCACTGGAGAAAACAAATTCCTGTTACGCTACACTACTGATGAGACTGTTAATGGCTGTACTGCGAAACCTTCCACCAGTATAGAGTTCCGGTGTCCCAGTGTGGGTGGGGTACGACATACTTTTTTCTAAAAGAATGTTTTGGACTCCCTAAAATGAGCTTTAACATTCTGGGTTTGAAAGAACAGGTCTATTTGTCAATTGTGTTTTCACCCTCCGATTTTCAAGGAAAATGCTTTTTGACTTCTGAAATTGCTAAATGTCAATGGTTACCAGAAAGCTCTGATTTATAACAATATATGTTTCTATACTACAGAGATGGTCAACTATCCTAGCATTAGAGGGTACAGAATGCTTTGTTTTAAAAGATATTTATCAGACCAAATACTGTATATTGGGATTTTTTTTTGCTGCAGTTTGACTTTTGCTTTTCCTCTGCAATCATGATAGCAAATATTAGTTACATAAGATACCATATCTATATTGTGAAGGGCGTGTATTTGCCTGTGTCAAAGTTACCTGGTATACAGTAAATATTTAAAAGTTTTTTAATTTGTTCTTGATCAAAGGTAACTATATGCTCATACTGTTTAAAAAGTATTGGTGTTTGTATTTCAAAACTACTGTCAGTATTATTTGTGTTTTGCAAAATGTGAAACATTTTTGACGATTCTTTTGTAATTCATCAGAAAATAGTATGTTCAGTTTGTCTGATTTCCATTAGTGCTTCATATATTATTGACTTTTAAATGAATTTAAATTCCTTGTCTTCCAGGGGAAAGATCCTGTCATGGTGGCTGATTTCAACTGTCAGTTCCGCATCGTGTGGGAAACGGAACATGCTTGTGCGGAAGTTGACATCACAAACAAAACTTGTCGTCTTGTCAAGGAATCTGAAAACATTGACATAGATCTTTCACCTCTCAGGGTTTACCGTGGCAAGTATACAAAACAGTGTCACCATATTTTGGGAATTGAAAAATTAAGTCCATCTAAATTACATGCAGTACCATATTTTCTATGATAAAGATGCATGCAGTGATAATGTGAAATAGGTTTCCTTTTCAAAAGTTTTCACATTAAGAAACAAAGAAAATTAATTGGTATTTGGGCTTGGTTGGGGAATTAAGTTAAATAATAACATTTTGTTAATTAAAGTTGAAGTGATTTACTGACACTTAAACAAATTTAGGAAAGATAACTCAGACACAAAGTCACATTGTGTATCAAGTTGCATATACTTTAAGTATTATATGTAAGTTAATATTTTAATTTGTTCTTTCTGTACATTTGAGTGAGTTACCATAATAAGATTTGGTTATTTGACTATGCCACAATTCTATCAACACACACATCATTTTGGCTAAGTGGCTTTATTAAGTAAGATATATAGACAGGTGTATAGTTTGTGACTGAAAGGAAGAGACTCAAAGGCAAGTTTGAGTCGTGTTAATTATGAATACATTACTTCTAGGGAGTTCTGATTTTCAGTATTTTATAGAGATGTACAGTAGCTACTAACTTTACATTGCTTTTTGGGGGAGACAGAAAGGCCAGAGTGGCTACATTTATATATGGACATAGCCATTATACATTCGATAAACTTCATTTTTTTTCCTTCTGATTTTAATTGACGGTTATTTGAAACCCCATGTTTGTGAGATTTTTTTTTTCTGAAATTGAACATAATTTTATTAGAGATACATGTGTTGATAACAGTCTTATTTCCAAAGGAACACCATATCACAATTTGATTGAACAGTTCCATGTTTATCACACATCTTTATGTGTTCCTGTCTGGTTACATGTACTAAAAATTTTTTTTTTTAAATTAACTAAACACAATTGCAAAAAACACCTACATGTTATAATGATCTTAGAATTAATGAGTTTTAATTGTCTCTAATTTGTGGCATTGTTTGCCATCATTGATAGCAGACCGTAAATACCAGGTAACAGTGCCCCCTAGCACTAAAGGTGGCGACTACTACATATACTACCTCAACGTATGTGGGGAGCTGGGAATCCAGTGTCCGGACATGAACCACGTCCAAAACGTGGCAGCGTGTCAGACCAAGTCTGGTGACTCGGATTACGGCCGTGTCATTGGGTCAGTTGGCAATGGTGACCAGAGACTAAGGTAATTTTACTTCTGTGCAGGTGAAAAATTCACAATTATTTGTTAATTCAAGACAATGTAAATTCAGTTCATTAAGGGGACTGCCGTATGTAAATTCATCTAAGTCAGGATTGGTTTGGTTGGTAATTTGGGTTGGTTGTCCTCGCTACAGCTAATATGAAAATAATATTCACAGAGGATAGGGCAACTTAACTCATTCACCCCTGAAATTTCATAATGAACTATTCCAACATTTGAATTGGAAGAGTTCAAATGTGTCTTCAGGGATTGATGAGTTAACATACCTTCTCGCTGAAATGTTGTATCCTCGACACAGTAGCATGACACTCCACCTGGTCATTTAACCCTTTCACCCATGCAGACCATTATGGACTTCTCCAGATCAATGCACAGAAGAGTCTACTAAAGTTACACAGGGGTGAAAGGGTTAAAGCTGAACATCAAAGAGCAATAAGTAGTAATGTTATGGACTTTGGTTTTTCTGTGTCAGGGGACAGAATCTATCACCTTCGTCACCCAGGCAAACACTCAATACTAAGGCTGAAATTAAAAGAAGAGAGAAAATACAAATAAACTCAAATGGGTACAGCAGATTTATTCTGGTCACTTTCATGTCCCCAAGTAGATGGCACAAGAGAAAATTCCCAATTCCTCAATCGGTAATCTCTTATGAATCATACAGTGGGTAACAGCATGTATATTTTCTTCTAAATCCCGGAATTGCAGATTGATTTAGGGGACTGTGATATGTAAATTCAGTAACTTTGTATTTAGGTGTACTCATGTTTGTACCCAACTTTGTATTGAAGTATACATGTGTTTTACCTAACTTTGTATTTTAGGTACGCTGATGGAGATCTTACCTTGACCTACCGAGGAGGCGATATTTGCCACAAGAACAATCCACGAACAACTATTATCAACTTTAAATGTGACCCCAATACAGGTAATTTGATTGACACATATCCTTCAGTCAGCTGAATCTGCAGAAAAAGATTCGTTACTATGTATCAATGAATTATTAAGATGTATATAAACAGTTGTTCACTTGATTTTTGATAAGTTAATTTTCTGGATCATTTTCGGAATAAGATATTTGAGAGGATTCAATGAGCCAAAATACAACTATACCCTTATTGATTTTGTATGTGTCTGAAGAGATATCTGCAAGGTACTTGGACTTACAATTTACTCTTCATCACTTTGCTTGGAAATATTGATTGAATGACTAGTATATTAACTTCATAAATGTGTACCCACCTAACACTGGTTGAGATTGTCATGAAATACAGGAAGTGTTGTGTTGCCTCTTATAGTTGTAGTGTTATCATGTTGTGGATATGTTGATAACCTAGTTAGCTGTTTTGTTATCTGGTTGTAGATATTGTATTATCCTGTTGTAATTGCTATGTTAATTACCTGTTGTAGATATTGTGTTCCTCTATTCTAGCAGTGATGTTATCCTGTTGTAAATGCTGAGTTGTCCTGTTGTAAATGAAGTGTTACCCTGTTTTAGCTAATGTGTGTAAAGCTGTTGTTGATGTAGTGTTACATTGTTTTAGCTAATGTGTGTAAAGCTGTTGTTGATGTAGTGTTACCCTGTTGTAGATGTTATGTTACCCTGTTGTAGATGTTGTGTTACCCTGCTGTAGATGTTTTGTTACCCTGGTTAGATATTGAGTTACCCTGCTGTAGATGTTATTTTACCCTGTGTTTGTTAAGGCCATGAACTTGAGGAATTGTTGTTACCCTGTTGTAGATGCTGTGTTGCCCTGCTGTAGATGTTATGTTACCCTAATGTAGATGTTATGTTACCCTTCTGTAGATGTTGTGTTACCCTGGTTAGATATTGAGTTACCCTGCTGTAGATGTTATTTTACCCTGTGTTTGTTAAGGTCATGACCTTGAGTAAATGTTGTGTTACCCTGTTGTAGCTGTTAACATGGGTAAAGGTTACCCAACATTTGTGAAGGAGGTCAACGACAGCTGTATCTACATGTTTGATTGGGCTACCAAGTACGCATGTTCGGGTCATCCAGCTAATGAAGAGTGTCGAGTTGACTACAATGGCAAACGCTACGACCTTTCACCCCTTACACGACGCCATGGACACGGTGATACACCAAATTTTGTTTCTGTTTTTATATATGATACATGTTAACTTGTTGGATGAAAAAAATATTATCTGCTGGGAATAGTCAGGAACAGATCATTGTGAGATAACGTTAATAACCAGAATGATCAAGTGCTCAGTGTACCACTTAGTAATCAGGAATACTGTGTAGAGCAGACTTTATTTTATCACTTTCACTTTCTATAATTATAGTTTCTTATGTTATTTAGCTGTTCAATGAATTTAAAGTTAATATATTTTCTGGATAAAAAAAGATGGTCTGGATCCTTTGGTGATTGAATTTGACAGTTTTCACTATTTACTTTTACCTTGGCAGTGAAATCCACTGTGCCTGCAGGAATCGATGTTTTTAATATTGATTGTTTAGAATGAAAAAGTTAAGACAATTCGAACATTGGAGACACATTGTAAGCTAGGGAAATATGAAACGTGTTTTTATTTGGCTTTATTGAATTGTTGAATTTGACACAGAAACTGATTGGGAGGTGTTACACAGTGACGGGACAGACGCTGGGAAACAATTCTACCTTAATGTGTGTAACGACTTACTGAACACAGGCGGTGCTGCTAGCTGTCACCCGGACGCTTCCGTCTGTCTTATAGGTCTGTAGTTTAAAGATACAGACATTAACAAATCCATATAAATGAACGTTATGCAGATAAGATATTTGAATATGCAGTAAAAGATTAGATTGAAACTTGGTGTTTGTAATAACTAGTGGGAAAGTAAAAACTTGTGAAGCTTGTCATTTCTAACTGTAAAGAGTACGGACATTTTTGTGATGGTGTACTGCAGCATTCATTTCCACAATGTTAACATTTCCATACTGTGAACATTCACCTTGAACATATTCTACATTGTTAATATTTCTGTACTGTGAACATTTCCACCATGTGAACATTTTTACACTGAAAAAGAATTAAACCCTAAAATTTATTTGCATGTAGATCATAATGGCCCCCATAATCTGGGTTCATTCATCGAGAATCCTGTATTCTCCAAGGAGACAAATGCCCTACAAATCACCTACGGTAACGGGGAACCATGTGGGGACAAGAAACGCACACGCTCCATTATAGACTTCATCTGTAAGCCAGGAGACCTGGAGAGTGGCCCTGTTCTCATGGATACCTCTCTTGACAGCTGTCTGTACAGGTTTGAGTGGCATACCTCCGCTGCATGTGTACTGGGACATTGGAGGGGAGACAACTGTCATGTATTTGACAAGGAAGCAGGTATTTTTACCCTCATTCAAAATTATGTCATTTTCATTCTGAAAAAGAAGCCGTGCAACTTTTAAAAAATAAATATAATTTAGGATCAATCCAGTAACCTGTCTATGAAGATTGCTTTTTTGTGCTGTTTTTCCTCAGAGTATGTACAATGTTCACTTACTTTGTTCACTGAAACAAGAAACTCAATGGATATACATGGTTGTTTTTTATTATGTAGGATTCAACTTTGACCTTTCACCTCTGACCTTGAAGGAAGGATCATATTCTGTCACGGATACAAACAAGACTTATGAATATCATATCAATGTGTGTGATGCTGTCCATAACACTTCGTGTGACACAAGTAAAAGTACTCCTCCGAATGCCGGAGTTTGTCAGACAAAGAGGTAAGTTATATTTATAATGGGACACCTNAGAGTGTATTAAACAAAGAGGTAGGTCATGTGACACCTTCTGAAGCTAGAGTGTATCAGACTTAGAGGTAGGTAATGTGACACCTTCTGAAGCTAGAGTTTGTCAGACAAAGAGGTAGGTAATGTGACACCTTCTGAAGCTAGAGTGTGTCAGACAAAGAGGTTAGTCATGTGACACCTTCTGAAGCTAGAGTGTATCAGACTAAGAGGTTAGTCATGTGACACCTTCTGAAGCTAGAGTGTATCAGACAAAGAGGTAAGTCATGGGACACCTTCTGAAGCTAGAGTGTGTCAGACAAAGAGGTAGTTAATGTGACACCTTTTGAAGCTAGAGTGTATTAAACAAAGAGGTAAGTCATTTGACACTTTTTGAAGCTAGAGTGTATTGAAAAAAGAGGTAAGTCATGTGACACTTTTTGAAGCTAGAGTGTATTAAACAAAGAGGTAAGTCATTTGACACTTTTTGAAGCTGGAGTGTATTGAAAAAAGAGGTAAGTCATGTGACACTTTTTGAAGCTAGAGTGTATTAGACAAAGAGGTAAGTCAAGTGACACCTTCTGAAGCTAGAGTGTATTAAACAAAGAGGTAGGTCATGTGACACCTTCTGAAGCTAGAGGGTATCAGACAAAGGGTTAGTCATGTGACACCTTCTGAAGCTAGAGTTTGTTGGACAAAGAGGAAAGTCATGTGACACCTTCTGAAGCTAGAGTGTAGTAAACAAAGAGGTAAGTCATGTGACACCTTCTGAAGCTAGAGTGTATCAGACTAAGAGGTTAGTCATGTGACACCTTCTGAAGCTAGAGTTTGTCAGACAAAGAGGTAGGTCATGTGACACCTTCTGAAGCTAGAGGGTATCAGACAAAGGGTTAGTCATGTGACACCTTCTGAAGCTAGAGTTTGTTGGACAAAGAGGCAAGTCATGTGACACCTTCTGAAGCTAGAGTGTATCAAACAAAGAGGAAAGTCATGTGAAACCTTCTGAAACTAGAGTGTAGTAAACAAAGAGGTAAGTCATGTGACAGTCACCTTCTGAAGCTAGAGTGTATTAAACAAAGAGGTAGGTCATGTGACACCTTCTGAAGCTAGAGTGTATCAGACTAAGAGGTTAGTCATGTGACACCTTCTGAAGCTAGAGTTTGTTGGACAAAGAGGAAAGTCATGTGACACCTTCTGAAGCTAGAGTGTAGTAAACAAAGAGGTAAGTCATGTGACAGTCACCTTCTGAAGCTAGAGTGTATTAAACAAAGAGGTAATTCATGTTACACCTTCTGAAGCTAGAGTGTATTAAACAAAGAGGTAATTCATGTTACACCTTCTGAAGCTAGAGTGTATTAAACAAAGAGGTAGGTCATGTGACACCTTCTGAAGCTAGAGGGTATCAGACAAAGGGTTAGTCATGTGACACCTTCTGAAGCTAGAGTGTATTAAACAAAGAGGTAATTCATGTTACACCTTCTGAAGCTAGAGTGTATTAAACAAAGAGGTAATTCATGTTACACCTTCTGAAGCTAGAGTGTATTAAACAAAGAGGTAGGTCATGTGACACCTTCTGAAGCTAGAGTGTATCAAACAAAGAGGTAAGTCATGTGACACCTTCTGAAGCTAGATTGTATTAAACAAAGAGGTAAGTCGTGTTACACCTTCTGAAGCTAGAGTTTGTCAGACACAAGGGTAAGTTATATTTATAATGGGACACCTTCTGAAGCTAGAGTTTGTCAGACAAAGAGGTAGGTCATGTGACACCTTCTGAAGCTAGAGGGTATCAGACAAAGGGTTAGTCATGTGACACCTTCTGAAGCTAGAGTGTATTAAACAAAGAGGTAGGTCATGTGACACCTCCAATTGTTGGGATATGTCAGACAAAGAGGTAGTTCATGTAACACTTTCAATGACATGGGTGTTTCAGACAAACAGGTAGGTCATGTGACATATTGGAATGCCAGGTGTGTCGGGGGAAAGGTCATGTGGCTTTACCACATCTACAGCAGTGACTTGTATTGCAATTTAACATGGAAACTTTCAGAACACTTATTTTCATAATTGTGGACATAAGGCATCTGCTATTGTTAAAACAAATTGAGAAACCAGCATAGTTTATTTATGAGAAGAAACTTGTAAAGTACCCTAATATTCCTATGTTACAGCGGTGACCATGCAATCAATACAGGAACTGCTTCCAGCATTCTGGAGTACTACGATGGTATGATAAACCTAACATACACAAATGGACAGGTGTACAACAGCCATCCTCCAGTTCCACGGAAGACAGAGATTGTGTTCCTATGTGACACAAGTGCTGGCAAAGGCAAGCCCTCGTTTATTTCAGAGAGTTCCTGGGGATACAGTTTTGAGTGGTACACAGCCTATGCTTGTCCGAATGAGCCAGTCGAATGTACGGTCACAGACCCAGCACGCAAGCAACAGTATGATCTGTCTAGGTAAACATTCCAGTTCCGTCTTAAATATGAAATATGCAGCATATATAGATGTCATTTTGGCATTTGTTCATTCTCTTTTATCAAGGTACAAGGTGCAAAGTACAAAAAGTAGGTCAATGTGACCTATGCTTTGACCTTTGAGGTCAACCCTTTGAAATAGTTTGTGTGGGGCTTAACTTCTATCCTTTTTCACATGAATTAACTAGATATGGTATATATGCTAGTACATCTTTTGATGGTAAAGTGTCAAGTACAAAAAGTAGGTTACTGTTACCTATGCTTTGACCTCTGACCTTATCACTTGAAAAAAAGTTTGTCTTAGGCATATCTTTTATACTGATTCATCTGATGTAACCAGATTTAGTGTGGCTGGCATAGTGTGGAGTGCAAGAAGTATGTCACTGTGACATATATCCCAAGATAGGTGTACAGCTGGGTGAATAAATAACTTATTACCGATAGGGAACTATGGATTGCCTTGCTATACTTTGACTTGTTCATTTTTTAATGTTCTCAAACTATTCCTACAGCTTTTGGTGAAGGCAGCAACTCTAGTTGTACTTATTCTAAGATCTATTAACCCTTTCACCCCTATGTAACTTTAGTAGACTCTACCATGCATTGATATGGAGGGGTCCATTATGGTCTACAGCGGTGAAGGAGTTAACTGATATATTACAGGTGTTGGATATTCAATGAAAATAGTGTTAACTTTTGAGTTTTAAATGGATTTCTGATGTTATGTTCAGGGTTCATCACCCCTATGCAATTAACAAAATTGTATTCATGTATGTCTGTCATGGAATACAAGCATATGAACACGTGAAGAGTATTGACACTGGCATGTTTATTTCGAGTATTTGAGTAAAAGAATCTTGCATGGGTGTGATGCATGGACAAGGAAATCTCGACAAAGCCTTGTGCTGGATAGCCAAACTCTTACCCTCATGTTGAGATATCCCCGTCTATGGACCACACCCATGTAAGATTCTTTTAATCCAGAATGTCTATACGATGTGTTGTGTGCCACACATATAGGTCTGTGCCCCAAGATCAAGGTTTCATAAAAGTTCAGAGAGGCCTATCTAAAGATTAGACATACCAAGTTAAACCTTTCAAGACAATAAACCATATTCTGTATAATCAAGACTCCTGTATAACCCAGAACTTTAGTAAGACCCTGCTGTTTACACCTTTATTTTTCTGGAACTGTTCGATGTAGTTTGCTCCTGGCAGGTTTTACTGTACTAGTGTAATTACTATGGTAGTCAATTGCATTTTCAGCTTATCCAAGTCAGTGAGTCAGGACAACTGGGAGTTATTGGACGACAGTGACCCCAAAAACAAGCTCAAGTACTACATCAATGTGTGTCGTCCACTCAGCGAGGTACACGTAGGCAAGGGCTGCTCAACCTTTGGGTCAGCATGTCGCACATCCTACAAAACTGGACAGGTAACAGCACATTGTCTTGTACTTGTACCAAAGTTTAAGGGCGGTTTAACTGCATTTAGTAGCACTTGCTTAGGCAGGAAATAATTTCTGCAGATTATTGTTTATAATTTTTGAGGTTGCTTGAACACCCTATATAGTATTCTAGTAGCAAAGCTACATACAGATGTATTTCACAAAGAGGACCTTTTTTTATAAACAATCCTAGTTTATTCGACAGTAAAGCACAAAAGGCTGTTCAAGAATTAATTGTATGGGAGAACATCGGTTAGTTAGAAAAGTGACATTTACAGAAAAATGACCTATTGCTCTCCAATGGCATGTTAAAATTTAAACTACCCCCCCCCCCCTTCGTATAATTTATCGAGGAACAGCCCTAACTGTATTACAGTTATGTTAGTTTTTTAGTTTTGTCTTTTTCTCATGTTGTTCTTTCGACCTTGACAGGAGGCTGTGGACATAGCAGATTTAGGAAGTGTGGTGTCGCCACCGGTCGTGGAGAGGGAGGGTCAGCTGTCACTCAAATACCGTACCAAAGACAAGATCTGTGACGACATTAATGGCAATGGCAAGACGACTATCACCACATCCATACATTTCATCTGTAGTCGAGGCGCTATGGTGAGTGGGTCCAGGATATGGTCTATAGAGGGATACGAAAGTGGACGTTTGAACCTAAGGTCAAGGTCGCTTACTTAAATAGAAAATACATTATATTGCCTTTTTGACTAACCAGTGTTAAATTTGGTAATATTAGGTGGATATCCTACATGAAAAATGCCATATTAGCAGGATCCCAAAATACATGTTGGCTAAGACATGTATGGCCATAACTTTTGTTTTATTGATACTATTTTGTTCAGAGTTGGTGGTGGAAAGTGGTACTTAGAGGATGGTGTATATGGTGAAAAAACAAAAGATATTATCCTGATCCTATCAAACAAGATGGCCACCATGGCTTCCGATTGGCTTAGACCTTTCGGGTTATAGCTTCTGTTCTGCTGGTCTGGTTTTGTTCATACTTGGTGGTTACTGGTGCTGTTAAGATTACATACATGTGAAAGTCTTCATTATCAATATTTCAGAATCTAAATGAAACACACACAGTCTATAATTTCATCATAGACCAAAAATGTTTTGGTTTTGATAAAACATTAAGATGACAGGTACAGAGCCAATTATATTTCAATTGTTTTGCAGTACAACTGTACTAGATTTACCATGGGTTTGTATTTATGAAACCGTTCTCATGCTCAAGTTTGAACTTTGTGGTCAAACCTTATTTCTTGTTCTGGTTATAACTTAATAGATAAATCTTATTTTGTCAATTATTTGGAAACATTTTGAAGAGACTTAAAGCCAAATACTGTTGTCAATGTTTACATTTGACTTTTTGATCGTTTGACATGATCTAAGTGAGTTACAAGAAAGTTGGTTTGAGCACAAAATCCATGCTTGAGCATGAGAACGGTTTCATGAATACGGGCCCTGTTACAGTTTACCTAATTGTTATGTTTACAGGTGACTGGGCCAAGCACTGTGACAAAGTTAGGTAACTGTGATTATGTATACATGTGGGCCACAGAGGCTGCCTGTCCTCTAGAGATGACAGAAGCAACCACCAACTGTTCTGTCAAGGACCGTAACTCTGATTATGTCTTCAACCTTGGCCTCCTCACCAGAAAGAGTGATACTGACTACTATGACGTCAAGGACGGAGCCTATCAATTCAGAGTGAGTTTCCTTCATTCTCATGTCTCTCCCCTCCTGTAAATCATTCAAAAACCAAAATGGTGTGGTAGAGATCCCATTCCACGGTCAGTGCTAGGTATCAAGGGTAATAACTCTGCAAAAAACAATCAGCAGATTGTTTTGTTCGATTTTAATAAACATTCGTCAATTGAATTTGAACACGCATGTAAATTCGGTTATGTAGATATTTGTCTTTTGATATTACTTTAACATATCCAATTGCGAACTTCATGTTTGTATTTGTAAACATCATTTCTTGTACAAGTTTACATTTCAGCCTTCTTTGATCTAAAACATATAACTTTTTTTATACGTACCACAATTAAATTAAGGGGGGTATACTGGAATCACCCTGTCTGTCTGGTTGTCTGTCTGGATGTCTGTCTGTCGTCCAGAGTAACTTGTCTGCAAAACTCCATCTTAACTAACAGACAGATTTGATTGAAACTTCACTTGAATAATCAGTATATTATGAAGTTGTGCACTGGCATTTTAATTTCAGATTTCAAAACTTTTTAAGGGAGTTATGGCCCTTTATGCAAAATAACTTGTCTGGAAACCCCAAGGTCAAGGTCACTAAATGATGTATAAACTACCAACATCTGGGGGGGGGGTATTAGTTATCCTCAAGATGACAGTTCTAGTTTTTGATTATCCTGAAAGTTAAACATCACTTCTTTAGTCGATGTTATAATGTTATTAAGATCTGTGTTACAACATTTGACATCATCAACCCTAAGTCATTCTGTACAGAACTGATCACTCCCAATCACAAGGGTATTAGTATCTTCTTTGTTACAATAACCAGTATCATGTTTCAGATCAGTATCATCAACCCTAAGTCGCTCTGTATACTACTGATAACTCCCAATCACGAGGGTATTAGTATCTTCTTCTTTGTAACAAAGGTGCAATCATCCCAGATTGCACACTCCGGAAGTAACTGAAAATCTGTTAAAAATAGCCAAAACCCTGATTTGGTACATCTCCCGCATTGGGGTCGATTTAGCCCCAGATATTGAAAGTTACCCTTCATTAAACCCTAAAAAATCACCAACTTTACAAAGTATCTCTATTGTTGTTAAGTTCATTGCCAATTTCCCTGGACAAAATCCCGGTGATTTTTTTTTCACTAATTTGTGATATGGAATGAGGGAGATCTCCCTCATTGGAGGTTTCAGAGGTTGACACCTATGTTGTTACAACAACCAGTATCATGTTTCAGATCAACATCTGCGGAGTCATGTCACCGACTCATTGTCCTCATGTGGAGGGTAAGGCTATGTCCTTATGTCGTCTGCTCCCCAACTCCTCCACCGAGGGCCTCAGCTTCCTCAAATACACCCTCGACTATGATGACGATGGCAAACTGATGCTGAAATATGAAGGCAAACGACTGGACAGTGGTACGGAATCTGACTTAATCATTGAATGGAGAAATTTGGAAACTTTTGTTCAATATCTATATTTGGACCATGGTCTTAGTGATGCCTTGTAAAGTACTGACAGACATATATATGAACACTTTGAGGTTTTAGCTGTTTACCAGGAAAGTATTTGTTTGCTTATGCAAAACCAATTCATTGCTTTCCTTGATATGGAATTCTCTTTTGAACTGTCTTTACAAAAAGTAATGATCAAGTTTTATATATGGCCTCCTTGTGTGGCTTTGAAGAGTTATATAAGCATGGGAAACATACAAAAATGTAAAGTTCTTGTTCTTCCAGGGATAAGGATAGAGGTCAGGGTTCTGTTCCTCTGCCGACAAAATGTGGATATTGGTGAGCCTAAGTTTGACCGAGTGGACGAGGGATACAAGTACATATTTACATTTGAGACATCACTAGCGTGTAAACCTGACCCAATAGATTGCTTGGCTGAAGATATCCATGGAAACCGTTTTGACCTGAGTCCGCTGGCACGTGGTGCCGGCGACACAAACTGGCAGGTGACAGACACTCATAGTGACCATAAAAATACCTATCACATCAATGTTTGTCGACCAATCAACACAGCCGGTACCTCCTGCCAAGGTGTGTTAAAAGAACATAAAATGAAACTTAATTTAAGTGTACTGATAGATCTAAATTTTAGAATAGTTCTATTTTTCTCACTGTTATCGATATATATTTTCTGTCAGAGATAATGGTTTTCTGTAATTTATATTCCATGAGCTGTTCATTTGCTCTGTCAAGTTAAATTTCTTCGCATGAATTCTGGTGAATTTATGAAAGGAATTCACAGGAAATTATATCGCTTAAATGATCTTTTTTAAGGGACATCAAAATGTTTTTGTCTGTTCAACTGAACATAATTTTTAATGAATAATATGATTACGTTCTTGAAATTATATAATTAATATACACAGAATTAAGTTATTTATATTAGTCCTGTCTGGTGATTGGTTTGCAGACATGATGTCATGTGTCATTACTGTTGCCAGGTGGACCAATCGGAGGGTGTGGGGTGTCCAGCATTGGCGATAGCTTCAACATGGGCTACATACATTCTCAACCCATCGCAGCCGAGGACGGGACCGTCACACTTCACTATCGCAACGGAGACATCTGTAACAAAAACAAAACCAATGAATCCCGATACAGTACAAGGATTCTGTTCTCCTGCTCAGGGGTTGAGGTAGGTGGTATCCATGACAACAGCTAATGGCTTCTGTGTAGAAGGGGTTCTGGTACATTGTATCCATGAAGGCAGCAACATCAACTTTCCTTGTGAAGTTTAGAACTTCCTTGTTGGAAGAAGATTGTTTTAGTATTTTAACCCTAAAAGGTTACACATGGCAGATCTAGATGCTTTCATTTGTGCCCAACAGGGTTGTAAATAAATTAGTAAACCAATAAGTTTCAAAGTGCTCCAAAACCTCTATGATTTTGCCACAGTAAGTTACATGTATTTTTGTTCATGTACTTTTCTTTATAAGGGGAAATTAGTTTCAAATTGTCATTTGTAGCATCATACATGTATGATGTTTTGTGAAAAAAGTAAGTCTTGTCTTCTGTAGGGTATTCAGCATTTAATAACTTGATAATGCTTTCTCGTCAGATGTTAGACTATATTTGAATAATTATGTTTACTTTAAAGATTTTTGCAAAGTAAAACTTCACTAATCCAATACAATTTTGGCATTATTATAAAGAGGTTTGGTGATATATTGGGGAGGATATGATAAAAGATTAACCCTTCACAAATGCTGGTGGAAAACGAGGTGTTTATTTTTGGATTTATACACAACATACAAGATAAAGCGTAAATAATTCTAAAACTGGTTTATTAAAATTTAGTTTCTTGAGTATAACAAATCTAAACTGTGGCTCTTCTCACCATTTGATAATCTTTTACATAATAGAAACTAGAAACATAATGCAATGTCACATGCATGTATCTTGTAAATTGCACCATTACCAAAAAAAACAATCTTATAGTAAGTAAAAATTAAACTTAAGAAAGTATGCCTTTAAAGAAAGAGTAGTCAACCATTGGAACTCACTGCCAAACCACGTCGTCACATCACCAACACTAAAAACGTTTGAAGCCCGACTGGATAAGCACTGGGGAAAACCAGAATGCTATTATAACCATGAAATTGATAATAATGAACTTATTAACTGTCGGGGTGTCAGCTTAGAGTCTGACGATACACCTGATCTGGATATATAGGCATATGCCTGCGTCCAGTACTATTATATTATATATTATTATATTATATTATTATACCAAATTATCCAATAACTGTGTGATGTTAATAAAAGCCAAGAATAATTATTATCTGAATGGGGAAAAGAATTCCCTTGAATTCTAATGGCCAAATGAATGAATTTATGCTTGCATAAATGAGCGAGAGCCCCAAGAATTTTGGATACGTTTTAACTATGTGTATTTGTTTTCTCTCCAGCGCAACCCAACCTTTATGGGCAAGACTGACAGCTGTGAGTACTTGTTCAGCTGGCAGACTCCCTTTGCCTGTCCCATGAAGAAGGTATGCTAAACTGGAATTAGCTATAACACACGAAACTTTTTTTATCTAACCATGTTATAAACAAGACAAACAACAAAATAAAGAAATGGTGACAAAAGCAAGTGTTTAGACACTTAATTGGCTCTGTGTATGACAATACCTCATTATCTTTTACTCGAGATGTTGGTTCATGATTTGAAATAGCAACATTAAGTTCTAAATATACTTATTACTGGAGTCAACGTTAGTATTATTTAATCGCTGCTGTGCAGTACTAAGTTGTACTGTCAAATAGAAACAATGTCATTTTGAATTGCATTCAAATAGAATTTCATTCAAAACATGTATGATTAAACTTTGCCTTTCCACCACTGTTGAAAAACAAATTATGATATTTACTCTGATCGCTTTCTTCAAAACATGTTATAAGTCTAAGGTAAGTTTAACCCTTTCACCACTGTGGACCATAATAGACTCATCCAGATCAATGCATGGTAGAGTTTACTAAAGTTACCTAGGGGTGAAAGGGTTAAAGATTATACTGTTACAGTTTACAGTGACAATGAAAAAACCCACAGATGACCTCTGTGTTTAGTACAAGTATGGCGACAAACTTTTGCCTCCTGGTAAACCAGGCCCGATACAGAAAACAAAGGACCCTGATCTAAAGCTTCTTTGATTTCTTTTAACTATCCATCAATTGATATATGCATTACAGGGGTATATGAATTGTCCCTAGAAAGTTGTTTTAATTCACACGGTGTGGGATACCAATAGAATCAAGGCATAGGAAAATCTGTAAAAAAGTTGAATAATAGAAAAAAATATTCTGAGTATTTAAGGATTGAATTCTGTTTTGTTGAGGTTTATGGGGTATAAACCTCAATTGGTCTTGAGACAAATTTTATGAACTGCAAAGCAAATGGGATTCTATCCTTATATTTACATTCAGAGCGATATTGATATTTGTTCGGATAATTTCTAAAATTTTGGTCTTGTGCAAGTCTAACACAACAGAAGGTATCAAAACTTATGACCTCATCTCTCACTTTGAGACGTCGTCCTGGTAAGATGAATAATCAAATTAAGATGTAAATAATTTTTTTAATTCAATTGAATACTTCTGAAAAAAAAAAAAAAAAATGAAAACAATCTATGAATGGAACTACTTCCCGCATTCCGCGGAATAACAGAGTAATCAGGTTGATAATATGCTGATGTATTCATACTCCAACTGAAAAGTTCATTGAAAAATAACCTTTAAAATGTTTAGTAGGTATATTGAGTCCAAGTTCAGTAGAAATGTAAATATATACATATGAATCATTCGAAAGCTGCTAAGATGACCAATCACTTCATTAACCAATCAGTGAACAGCTGTACCTAATTTGGGTGACTGACCAGTTATATCCTCCCGTTAACCACTGATTAATGATTTCTCCCATTGGTCCTTGTTCTCTCTCAATATCTGAAGGACCTTCTTAGACTGCAAGTCCTTGTACATTAACAACACTCACTCACATCAATCATTCAATTAAAATAAGCTGTGAGGTGACAAAAAACTTACATCTTAGATAAGATAAGTATAGTCAAATCTGGATTAGGAGACTATCCAAGGGAAGGCTAAAGGTCATCTATCAATAGAGTGTTATTATAAACTGCTTAGTGGGGTATACATAGAGAAAATGGTGGTCTCTTGAACACAGATTTGACTGAATTAAAGATAAAGTTAATATTAACACAGTAAGACCGTATTCCTTTACTTCTTTGGTTGTAGCCTCATATTGGTTCAGACTGTAAGGTGCAGGATCCACTGGCGACCCACGAGTTTGATCTGAACCCTTTACGAAAGGCAACAGACTATAAAGTGCCAACACCAGACAACTATTTATACATCTTAAATGTGTGCGGCCCCTTACAGTCCACCACCGCATGTGGGGCAGACCAAGTCGGTATATGCCAGACCAAGCCCAGTAATGCAAGTTACAAGGTCAATGCAGGTTGGTAAATACTCTTTACCTCTAATTTTAACATTGTTAAGTTGCTGGAACCCAGCTAAAGTTTAATATGTTGGTAGATTCTGGGATATTGAACTTCGTAAATGAATTTAAATGAAATGAAACAGAAGTTTGTTGAATGTTCAGTCATTATCTTGCTGTTTAAAATGGACCAGAATTTTTAAAGGTGAAGGTTGTTGAGTAAGTTGTTAACATGCAAGCTGACATATTTTCCATTTGTAGGAATGCCTTCCTCGGCTCTGCGCTACCAGACAGGGGTGATCACTCTGAAATATCTCAATGGAAAATCACCCTGCCATGGAAAATACAATCGCAGCACCATCATTACGTTTCTATGTGACCACTCTACGAATGGATCAGCAGGACCGGTCTTTATTAAGGAGGAATCCGACTGTACTTACATGTTTGAGTGGAAAACCAGTCTTGCTTGCCCTCCGTTTAAAGAAGAAGACTGTAGCATCACTGCCCCAAACCATAACCAGTATGATCTGAGCACGCTCGCCTTGACCAGTGATAACTATGACTACCTTGATTATATTCATAATAAAAAGTTCATCATCAACGTATGCCGATCACTCGTCCACAAGAAAGGTACAGCCCTTATAGATCAAGGTTACTTTTTATAAGACCACAAAGCTAGAGTTCAATGCTATCATGCTGTCTGTCCCTTAACATCAATTTTTCATGAGTTATGCCTCTTTGCAACTTAGATTATTCTCTTAGCATAATTCTTTCTTGTAAGCACAAATAGAACACATTTTTCAAACCAAAATTAAGAATCTTCATATGTCAATCCAGATCCTGCATCAATTTTTACCCCCCCCCCCCATGAAAACAGAGAAGTTACAACATGCAATGTTGTAACTTCTCTGTTTTCATGCTCCTTAACACATGTTAAAAATGGCCACCCTGTCTGCTAAAGGTAACTGAAAAGATAGAGCAATTCCCTCCAATAAGAAATCTCTATTTTCTCATTCACACAAAGCAATTATAGTTATACTTTATTAAGAGACCATTTTTGTTTTGAGCCTTATAGATATAAACTTTATTTAACAACAATTATGAAACAGGTTATTTCAACTTATACTTATCACTCTTGTTGGCCCGGATGTTAGCGCATGGGGGGTCTTAGTGTGGGAGAAAACCGGAGTACCCGGAGAAAACCCACGTGGTCAGGCAGGTGACCCCTACCTTTTCACGTCCGATCGGGAATCGAACCCCAGCCGCCTTGGTGAAAAGCAAGTGCGCTATCCACTGCACCACCTGACCACCTGACCACCTGACCACCCTGACCACCACCTGACCACCCAATGAGCCTTCCCTTGGGTGGTCTATTAATACAGATTCAACTGTAGTTTCTATTATATGAGTATCTGAAAAGCAGGAGGTAATAATATGATTTCTTATAAATCTTTATCTTATTTGAGAATTTTGTTTCAAATCACATTGTAAATTGTTTTTCCATCAGATAGCTAGCCAGAGTTTTTTTTCTGCTAGCCAAGCATCCATAACACTCTATAAAAGATTTTGTAAAGATTGTCCTTAAAAATATTTACAGATTCCTAAATTTTCTAATTACAGATCAGACATGTCCGTACAATGCCGCTGTATGTATGGTTGACCTGACCCAACAAAACGATACTCTAAGGTAATAATGGTGTCGTCTGCTCCGTATTTCTTCCATACTTATTATGATAAGTGTTGTATTAATATCTAAGACAGATAACACTTGTGGTTCATTACTGTCCACCCTGTAATTGCAGGTTCCACAACCTGGGCGAGGTAAACAAGCACCAGGTGATCGTAGATAACGGACAGCTAGAACTCCATTACACCAATGGTGAACAGTGTTCCTCGGGCGGCAGAACCTCAACACGTATCATCATGTACTGCGACAAAACAACCCTGGTACTGCTTATTGTGTTAGGATACTATCACATTATGTGTTAATTCCTATAATGCTATACATGAACTAATTTTCGGCAAAGTTTAATTTCCTTACTGTAGAGTTATGGTTACAAACACTGACGCTGACTTTAGATAGGTGTAAAGCACCTACATGATGCAGACTATAATAAGCCTATTACTGAGTGGGATTTTCAGGATGGCGGCATGGGTACATTCGCGTATCCGGTTGAAACGGTTGAACCGGTTGAACCTGTAAAGGAAACGACTGGCACAGATCTGGACCGAGGCTGACCTCAGGAAAATTTGGCATGGGTAGATTGAGGGGTCCAGACGAACCTGACCGAAACTAAAATGCTGACTATTGCCAGTTTGTGTTATTTCTTTCTAAAACAATGTCAAGTCACATGTAATTTTTAAGATACGTTATGTAATTTAGTGGACGCATGAGAGAAGGGCATAATATTCTTGATACATTGTTTTTTATTCTCCGAAACTGTGGATTTTTAGCTCTGCTTATAGAACAGTCCAAGTGTGTTCGTTTATTGTGGAAAATTTCTGCGCCCACGTACCGTTTCAACCGGGATACACGAATGTAGCCCATGTGTACCACCTTTATATGTTCAGATGAATAAAATGCAGTATTGGATTTAATTGACATGTATTTGTTGAAGGCTTCAATGTTATAACACATTCAAAGTAATGTATTCTCGAGGATATTTAACGTAACTAATATTCAATTATTAAGTAAGCTCTTGTGTTAAAATATTGAAATAAATAAATTTATTGTCAAATTTCCGCACAAAGGAGCATGAAAGTTTGTATTCTGTGAAATGTATTTGATTTGAGACAAATTTGTGAAAGCTTTGCTATTGAAATATTATCATCGGAAAATTCTGCAAATCATAACTTCATGTCTGATTTTTGTTTGGTTTGCTATGGCTATAATGTTGAAAACCCTTGATTTCGTAATTGTGTTTAACATATTAATTCAAACAGTTTTCCCATCCGGTTGGCCATTTTACGGTGAACAATTGCGAGCATGAATTTACCTGGAGTACACAGGCTGCATGTCCCTTAAACACTGACCAAGACAGCGAGCAGACGGGCAACTGTACCGCCAGGAATCCAGTCACAGGTAAAACATAGATTTTGTTTGCTTTTGTACAACAGGAAAAGTAAGTGTGGAATTAAATCACCTTTCTTGTAACAGATCCTTCTCAACACAGCAGACACAGAACAATAATGATGTACTTCATACAACTTTGTATTTGGAATACAATCAAATCCGTGTATATATGGCTCATAGAGAGCAAATCAGTCTTTATACAGTCTTATTATGCGTTAACTCATTCACCCCTGAACTTTCATAATCAATTATTCCAACCTTTGAATTGGAAGAGTTCAAATGTGTCTTCAGGGGTGAATGAGTTAATGTACCTATTTTTTTCACATACATACTTTCCTGAATTGACATTTCCATACCTTTTCCCGAAAAAATCAATTGCATTCACATATTTTTCTGTCTTACACTATGTATAAACGATTGTTAGCATGAAACTGAAAATTGGGAACAAAGCAAATTCCCATAGAAATATATGTGTTACATTTTCGCCAGTGAAATATCAGAAATTAGTTGTTTAATAAAAACATGTACCTGTGAAGATATATGAAAGGTTATATCTTTACATGTCAAGATATCACTTTTGATATTGTTCAATCAGAACGGTACTTTCTTTTCACTGCATAGATTTTCAGTTTCAAGTTTAGATGAAGCAATAGAAGAATAAGAGGGTTTGACTCAAGTGACACTCAAGAACTTATAGATTTTTCCTCCAGAAATTATATTAAATACAAACAAGGTCACTACTGAGAATATATTGTTTCCTCTGTAAGATTCTTTGCCGTTAAGCAGTGTCATTTTGTTCCACAGGACATGTATTTGACCTCAGTTCCCTAAATAAAGGGACACCTTATAAAATTGACGACCATCGAGGCCACATCTTCAAACTCAATGTGTGTGGCAAAGTTACTGGCTCCGGATGTGCTGGAGTCTCAGGTGAGTTATAACATCTTAATATATTTTTACTTTATGTAATAAAGAAATAAGATAGAGCTAAAAAATGTTTTGTTAGATAAACTGTTGATTGCTTGAACCATTTTTAATGTTAAAATGTCCCTGCCGGCAGTAGATTTTCCTATCATTGGGTTTTTGTGTGAGGTCAGTAGCTTTTATTAACATGACCAGTGCCTATATAAGAATGAATAGAGTCATGTTAAAGTGGGCAGTTTTATGATATTTATGATGTTGTCAGTTTTGTGTTTTGCCGATATATAATTTATTTGTGATAACGTCACTTAGTTTTTGCTATGGTCAGTGTTATCAGGATAACATGGTTTTGTACTGTGATAGGTCACTGTTTGATTTGAGTTGTCTATTTCATTACGTGTCAAGTTTTTGCTATGGTCAGTGTTATCACACGGTTTTGTACTGAGAAAGGTCACTGTTTGATTTGAGTTGTCTATTTTATTACGTGTCAAGTTTTTGCTATGGTCAGTGTTATCACACGGTTTTGTAGTGAGATAGGTCACTATCTTTGAGTTTGGAACATGTTTGTGGGTTTTTGAGTTTGGGACATGTTTGTGGGGTCAGTTTTGAGTGGTCCGGTGTCATTTAGAATGGTTATGTAATGCCACCTTTCTGTTAAAGTGGGAGCCTGCCAGGAAGAAGTGGCCGGAGACAAGAGGAACTTCAGTAGTGGGCTATACAACTCCAAGCTACAGTTTGACAATGGCGTCCTCGTGCTGAACTATCATGGTGGTAAAGACTGCCATAATAAAATGTACAAACGCACAACCATCATCAACTTTGTCTGCTCCCAGACAGCCGGTGAGGGTAACCCGGTGTTTATAGATGAATCAGATGACTGCACTTACTATTTATCTTGGCATACCAGCCTCGCATGTGAAAAAGAGGTAACCAATCAGCACACTTAAACTTTATAAATCAGCCAATCAAATTGTTTAGTGCTCCAATATACCCTACTCAAAACAATTCTCTGTTCTAAGTTTGAACGAGGAGTGCTTATTCAAGTGTGAGTTTGTTTATACTTGTCATGTGACAGTTTGATTTAGGAGAGGTATTTGACTGCTCTGAGCTTGATTGAACTTATTATATCATATAGACATGTCAACATTATATAATGTTAATCAAAATTTGATTTTAATGTACACATTTACTATAATGTTACATTAACTGTACATAGATTACTTTCAACAATTAAGTTATCACTGATTACCTGGCTGTACAGGAGTATTCTTCCACGAGTTTAGCTGGTTCTACAGCTTTAGGTGGCTTGATATGTGCTGAAATTTAAACTAGGCTTCAAGTCATTGTTTACGAACATAAATGTATATTTTGACACTCTCCAATACATTAATACACTTGCAGGGTTTCTAATTCATTTTCGGGTGTACTAGAATTTGGCAACAATCAATCTCTGTTTTTATAATCATATTTATGTTTGGGTTTTCTGATCAGACTAAAAGATTTCACTGTGTATGGATGTTATTTGAGAATCACATGTTTCAAGTTATTTCACAAAAGAAATTTTGGACAGATTTCATCAAAAAAAACTTTCTCTGTTTTTTTACCAGGTGAAATGTTCTGTTGATGCTGGAAACAGAACTATTGACCTTTCACCTCTGGTCAAGCCAACTGGAGAGTACTCATCTCTGTCCACTATGAATGGGAAAGATGTCTCGTACTACATTAACATCTGCCGACCTCTGAACCCGATCTACGGAACACTTTGTCCCCCACAGGCCAGTGCTTGTATGCTACAGCCTGGTGGTAGCCCACAGGTAATACTAACAGGTCAACACCAATGTTGTTATGATCAATTAATGATGGGTTCCTGTTGATTTTCAGCAGTATTTAACTGTTTAAAAGATGTTTTAAATGTTATGATAATTTTTCAGTTAAACAGGAAGTAAAAATATTTTGTTAATTTCACCCTTGAAATCAAATTCCAGAGATAAATGCCAGAATAACAAAATTTTGATGAATAGGATCCCCCAGTAACTCACCGTGTGCCCACAGCAAGTTGCTGCATTATGTCTTGTCTGTCGTCATACTATTCAATGTCAGTTGTCTAGGTGATTAAAGGAGTGCAATTGTTGGGAACCTTCCAAAAGTTGCCAATGTTGTTAAAATTTAAAAAATAATTGAATCCTGTGGAAAGTCTCTCCTAATATTTTCAATAGATAATAACAGAAATAAGAAATTAGGGTTTTTATTTTCACATTTTAGGAGGAGATATTGTGACCATTCCTCTCAAACTAGTGAATCCATTTTGACAGTGTAACCCAGACTGAACTCCAATCATAGTATTCCTCTTATTTGAAGTTCATTAAATGAATTAATTGATTTAAGAAACAACTTGAAAACAGCAACACACAATTTTACACATCCTTATATGCAATACTACCATTAGCAATATTGTTTTGACTTTTATAACTTTACAAAATCCTTTTACTTAGATTATAAGCAGTGAATGAGAGTACCCTGTGTAGGCATATTATTTCATAAGATTATATTATTATTTTTTTATCAATTAGCGAGAATTCATTTGTTGAATTTTATTTCATAAACGAGAATCAATCACAACAATATTCAGTGACAGTAAAATAATTCTGTTTTCAGAGTTTGGGGAAAGTAACTGGTCCTCCAGTGCTGGAGAAAGGAACTGGAAAAGTAACCTTAATTTATGAAGGAGGAGATGTGTGCTCGACAAACCAAGCCAAAAATATGTCGACTAAAATTGTGTTCGTATGCAACCCAGGAGTGTCCAGAGTGAGTACCAACACGGCAATATCTAAGTTATAACTGATCTGACTTGCCTCACAAGACAGAAGGAAATCTTGTTCTCGGCATACCTTATAATGTCATTTCTTTCTTTTTGAACAATTAGCAGCTATCATAATTATCCTTGAAATTCCAAGGGTTATGCTCACGGATGTTCTCTGCACTCCAGGAATATGTCATGACAAAATTAATGTCTCTGTATGTGCCACCATGTGAATGATACAAATAGATTAGCTTAATGTACATCATTAGAATGGCAGTGTTTAACTATAAAATTGACAGGTTTTGAATCTGATTTTAATGTACACATGTACTATAATATTACATTAACTGTACATAGATTACTTTCAACAATTTAGTTATCACTGATTACCTGGCTGTACAGGAGTATTCTTCCACGAGTTTAGCTGGTTCTACAGCTTTAGGTGGCTTGATATGTGCTGAAATTTAAACTAGGCTTCAAGTCATTATTGACGAACATAAATTTATATGTTGACACTCATCAATACATTAATACACTTGCATGGTTTCTACTTCATTTTCAAGAGATCTAGGTTTTGGCAACAATCAAGGGTTATGCTCACGGATGTTCTCTGCACTCAAGGAATATGTCATGACAAAATTAAAGTCTCTGTATGTGCCACCATGTGAATGATACAAATAGATTAGTTTGATCCTTTAATGTACATCTAAAGAATGGCAGTGTTTAACTGTAACATGGACTGGCATTGAAGTCGTGTATTGCTTCTCTGTAATCCTCAGAAGGCAGGTATCAGCCTAGCGATAAATCCCTTCAATCAAATCGCCTTCAGATTTGTCATGACATATGCCAGGGGCCAGGAGAACCCTGCTGTTGATGAATATATATAAGTTTGGAATGCGACAATCTGAAAAACAGAAAACACAATTATAAAATTGGTGTGTTTAATCTGTAACTTATCAACAAAGCTAGCCCTGTAATGTAGACATCTAGTTTACTATTCTTTTACATCAAGGTAAGGGGGGGGGGGGGGCAGCCAAATGGCCTCTGCATGGAGANGACCATAATACCATTCATAGTAGGTATTTTACAAGTGTCCTTAGTGCAGTACTGCAGAACTCTTTTAAAAGGATATACTTGCCAAATTTAGATAACGTATGTCTGGTGTCGTTTATGTCAGGATTCAATGTGATATGCTGACGGTGACTGTTATAACTTTTATTACTTTTTTTCATTCATCAAGTCTGGCCCGGTACTACAGGAAGTGTCGGACTGCCAGTATGTGTTTGTATGGGACACCTCTGTTGTCTGTAGTCAAGACGACACCAATCTACAGCCAGTGGCCAATCAGGATTGTTCTTACAAAGACGCTCAAACTGGCAACACCTACAACCTTACATACTTCAAAACTTTACAGAAAAGAGAACCAGTGAGTAATTAACGTAGTCGACGTTTGGTAATTTACTTGATTGATTGATTGGTTTTACGTCCACTTCACTACCGAGTAGTTTGGTGATCCAGCAGATGTAGAAAAGCAAGGAAAATGAGTAGAAGGGATAAAGTATGTAGTGAAAGAATAGAAAGGGGAGACAGGGGAGAGAAGGAGCCGTCTATCCTATATGTATTTATGTTCATGAATTTAATTTTTTCCTAGGCCTAATGTTTGCCTTAACCTAGGTAATGTACAGATCCACTTCAAATAAATACCACTGTGTGCTTATGTACAGTCATATATAGCAGTCAAATCTGGTAAGATACAAATCTACTAGAAATAATTACCAGTGTGTTACAATAATTATACATAGTTGTCATAGTTTGGTAACATACAAACTACTACCACTGTGCTTGTGTAAAGTAATATATAGCTGTTGAAGTTCTATGATATACAACCACTACAAATCCATACCACTGTGTGCTTGTGTACAGTAATATATAGCAGTCAAATCTGGTAAGATACAAACTTGCTACAAATAATTACCTGTGTGCTTGTTTATATATAATGGTCTTACTTCCATTTGACTATACATGCTGAAGGCATGTTGCTGTGATAATTCAAATAGTTAAACATCACTTTTTGTTTATTTTTTATTGAAACAGATGAAAAAAAATGGTTTCTCATATTCAATCAACGTTTGTGATAAAGTGGAGACAGCATTACCTGGATGTGAGACAGCTGGTGTTTGTCGGACCAATAATACGAGAGGGGTCTCCTACGGCAGTGTCGCCCACAGAACTGTGTCAAAGACAGGCAAAGTCATCCAGCTAACATACACACAGGGCGATACTTGTGGTGGTTAGTTTCTTTGTAATTAATAGCAAAATGTGAAAATTGGTAAATTGCAGATATGTTTTTTAAACAAAATAAAGGATCCCTGTGCCACTGCACTGGAGTTTTCCTATATACAGTAACCTCCCTTTAACTTATGTTTGGATGTAGCTGTAGTACATGTACAGTTGGACCGCGATGCCTCACTCACACTCACTGGTAGCTGAATCAGTTAGAGTGATGGTAAGATTCATATCTCGGTCTAGCACCGCTGAAGCTTTACACAAGTCTCGCAAAGTATGGTTTTCTTTTCATAAATGATTTGGTAAAGCTTAAGTCATGCCTGAAAAAAGTTCCCAATTTTGTTGTTACAGTTTTGGCTGTGATACGGGGAATCCTTTAATGCTTTCACTTACTTCGGATTGAAAATATGAAATATCGTAAAAAGTAATAAATACTGGCATTGACCAATGATTCCTTGTAATTCAATGGGAAAGCGAAAGTAAGAATTATATTATACATTATGCTAGATGTCCATGCTCCTTGATTAACTGTCGCTACTGATATTTGTTTATCTTCCAGAGAATAGAAAGCGGGAGAGTGTGATCACTTTTGACTGTGATACATCTGGCAAAGTCGGCCAACCCAAGTATACCTATGTAAGTACCTCATCTCGTTATCTAACCAAGTACGCCTTTCTACATACTTTCTATATTCATGTTACCAGAAATGTCCTTGATACATGTACATGTAAGAAATGTATACAGGGAAATTTTCACTGTAGCTTTGACCTTTTTCGCCCTCCAAAATGTGGGTTAATTTACCATAACAGTTGATGTAATATTAAAACACAGTATACAGTATATTGAAATTACATATAAAGGGCAAAATGAGCACTGGGTGATTCTGGTTTTCACTGATAAGGGGGTAAAACTTCCCCACTTTACGCTGTCTCTTTACTTTAGTCTGTTCCATATATCTCACAGCCTTGCTTTCTGCACATGTGTAGAAATGACAGCTCATTTCTGACATGGCGGCTTTCTTTGACAAAGGGTTATTTGCAAGTTTTGTGTTGGAGAAAAATAATCAATAATTACTGTATAATTCAGGTAGGAAAATCTCCACCTTTGAGTTAAGATTTTAACTGTTGAGACCTTGGCAGAGCCTCTGTGGTGAAACAGTAAATATCCTATAGGTTGAGATTTTCCCTTCTGCATTATACAGTGTCATTTTATACATAAGAAGTAAGCTCTATATATATTTATAGAGGTAATGTTGTATGTTTTATAGGCCGGTCAGTGTCATTCTATACATGAGAAGTAAGCTCTATATATATTTATAGCGGTAATGTTGTATGTTTTATAGGCCGGTCAGTGTCATTCTATACATAAGAAGTAAGCTCTATATATATTTATAGAGGTAATGTTGTATGTTTTATAGGCCGGTCAGTGTCATTCTATACATAAGAAGTAAGCTCTATATATATTTATAGAGGTAATGTTGTATGTTTTATAGGCCGGTCAGTGTCATTCTATACATAAGAAGTAAGCTCTATATATATTTATAGAGGTAATGTTGTATGTTTTATAGGCCGGTCAGTGTCATTCTATACATAAGAAGTAAGCTCTATATATATTTATAGAGGTAATGTTGTATGTTTTATAGGCCGGTCAGTGTCATTCTATACATAAGAAGTAAGCTCTATATATATTTATAGAGGTAATGTTGTATGTTTTATAGGCCGGTCAGTGTCATTCTATACATAAGAAGTAAGCTCTATATATATTTATAGAGGTAATGTTGTATGTTTTATAGGCCGGTCAGTGTCATTCTATACATAAGAAGTAAGCTCTATATATATTTATAGAGGTAATGTTGTATGTTTTATAGGCCGGTCAGTGTCATTCTATACATAAGAAGTAAGCTCTATATATATTTATAGAGGTAATGTTGTATGTTTTATAGGCCGGTCAGTGTCATTCTATACATAAGAAGTAAGCTCTATATATATTTATAGAGGTAATGTTGTATGTTTTATAGGCCGGTCAGTGTCATTCTATACATAAGAAGTAAGCTCTATATATATTTATAGAGGTAATGTTGTATGTTTTATAGGCCGGTCAGTGTCATTCTATACATAAGAAGTAAGCTCTATATATATTTATAGAGGTAATGTTGTATGTTTTATAGGCCGGTCAGTGTCATTCTATACATAAGAAGTAAGCTCTATATATATTTATAGAGGTAATGTTGTATGTTTTATAGGCCGGTCAGTGTCATTCTATACATAAGAAGTAAGCTCTATATATATTTATAGAGGTAATGTTGTATGTTTTATAGGCCGGTCAGTGTCATTCTATACATAAGAAGTAAGCTCTATATATATTTATAGAGGTAATGTTGTATGTTTTATAGGCCGGTCAGTGTCATTCTATACATAAGAAGTAAGCTCTATATATATTTATAGAGGTAATGTTGTATGTTTTATAGGCCGGTCAGTGTCATTCTATACATAAGAAGTAAGCTCTATATATATTTATAGAGGTAATGTTGTATGTTTTATAGGCCGGTCAGTGTCATTCTATACATAAGAAGTAAGCTCTATATATATTTATAGAGGTAATGTTGTATGTTTTATAGGCCGGTCAGTGTCATTCTATACATAAGAAGTAAGCTCTATATATATTTATAGAGGTAATGTTGTATGTTTTCTAGGCCGGTCAGTGTCAGGCCCTGTTTTACTGGCGGACGTGTGTGGTGTGTCCCAAAGTGGCTGATGCGTGCTCACTTGGCTACAATTACAAAAGCTATGATCTAAGTATGTTGTCAAGTGAAACTGGTGGCTGGAATCTCACTGACGCCAAGGGAAACAGGTGAGGTCAAGGTCATCCCGAACCAAAAGTCTTATTGCAAAATATTTTACAAAATTTAGGTATGAACATATTTCCTAAATGTAAAACACATCATTTGTGTAAAAACTTACTCTCCGCATTGCATGTCATTGAATTTTCACAAAGAATTTTAATTCAGAAAACGAAAAACAATATTATACATGTACATCAAGTCTATAAATGTATTTGAATAAATATTGGCCATAGTTGTTGTAGTTGACTCTCAATTGTTAAAAAATATGTAAAATATAGAAATTACTTATAGATATTTTGGAGTATTATGCTATAATAAATAAGAATGGTCCTATTACTTTGTGTTGGTACAATTACAGTTGAAGCTTACAAACTTTTAAATTTACTTGTCTGGAAAAATTGGTGTCCACTTGGTTGTTATTTTAGAAAATGAGGGTGTTTTCATTATATATGAGAGTATCTTAATTGTCTTAAAAAAACAGATACTGGATCAACATATGTCAATCAGTGAACAATGGCCCCACAGACTCTGAGGAGTGCCCACACATGGTGGCAGCCTGGCGACAGACTCCCAGTGGACTGGTGGACAGATTAGGGCTAATCAGCACACAGAAACTCACCATGGACAGTAAGTAGAACTTAAACAGACAAGTGCTTGTCAGTATAGAGAAACTCACCATACAGGACAGATGGACACAAGGCTTGTTAGTACACACGCACTGAGTGTGTTCGTTTCTATATGTTATTAAGCCCATGCCTCATAGTCATAAAAAGCCAACCCATATGCAGTAACGTAGAAATGCCAAAAAAGATAAGTTTATTTGCCTGTAATAACCCAATCCCCCTAGTCAGAGATCATGTGTTGGTCTCCTGTACTTATAGGATAAAATATAAATAATTAATAGGCTTAATAGGCATGAAGAGATGAAGACAATAATGTTACCAGGATTGGCCCAGGTGTCTGGCCCCACTACAGGATTATTACATCAGGTATATCAGTAATAACTGACACAGTGATTCACTGGGATATGTAGCCCTGTAATAGGGCTACATTCGCGTATCCCGGTTGAAACGGTACGTGTGGCGCAGAAATTTTCCACGATAAACGAACACACTTGGACCGTTCTATAAGCAGAGCTAAAAATCCACAGTTTCGGAGAATAAAAAACAGTGTTTCAAGAATATTATGACCTTTTTTCATCCGTCCATTGAATTACATAACGTATCTTAAAAACTACATGTGACTTGACATTGTTTTAGAAAGAAATAACACAAATTGGCAATAGTCAGCATTTTAGTTTCGGTCAGGCACGTCTGGACCCCTCAATCTACACGTGCCAAATTTTCCTGAGATCAGCCTATGTCCAGATCTGTACCTGTCGTTTTCTTTACTGGTTCAACCGTTTCAACCGGTAACACGAATGTACCCTAGGTGTTTAAAAGGTTTCTAAGGTCAAGGTTACTGTAACTGGGAAACAAAAAGGTTTCTAAGGTCAAGGTCACTGTAACTGGGAAACAAAAACATGCATGCAGGAGGGGTTATGGTTGAGTTGTCATTGTTCTAGTATTCAGGAAGAATGAAGCTGCATAGGTTCATTTAAAAAAGATTTGTGTGATATAAGCCCCATGGGTTTTTTCTCATTTTAATCCAACTGCTACATGTACACATAAAGAAAATTGCAGAATTATAAGTTTGTTGTATAAGTTTTAAACTGGGGGGTTTTCTGATAGAATTAATGTATAGGTTTGAAGTTGGTTATATGGGCTGATATAGTTGGTTATTTAGGTTTTAAGCTGGTTATTTGGGCTGATATAACCTGTGTTCAATGTTCTCCCCACCTTGGGCACAGAGAATACTACACTGAGACTGGTTATATAAGCCCATAAAACATGTTTGCATGGTGTCTATAAATGTAGTTGTTTATAAATATATATCATATTTAATGTTGTGTTTATGTTTTTAGCTGATGAGAAGACACTGATTCTACAGTACTTCCAGGGTGACACAGCTTGTTCTAACACAAAGCGACGAAGTGACAACTCTCATGCCCAAACCTTGATCAAGTTTGTGTGTGGAAATACTGTCGGAGGCCCGGTTTTCATTGAAAGGTTAGTCAAGTATATATTACATATTTACTAACACTTTGGGTATTGGAAAGAGACCATAGTGGCCATAGTCTACACTGATTGCCATACCTACAGAGGTGTTTCAAAGGATCCTAATCTTATACACGTATTTCCTCTACAGGGCTACTGTGTTGTAACCATTGGTTAGCGCGGATGGGAAGCATGCGATTTGTGATTTATGAAAGTGATAGAGTATTCATCATAGACATATCATTGGTTGTTCTGTATATATTTACCAACCTGGAGAAAATAAAAGGGACATACATGTATATGGCATTAACCCTTTCACCCCTATGTCACTATAGTAGACTCTACACTGCATTGATATGGATGAGTCCATTATGGTCCACGGTGGTGAAAGGGTTAAGTCCTTTTCTGGTGCTAAGCCCAAAAGAGAAAGAAAGAAGGATATTAATGGTCCTAAGAAATTTCCTTGTTGTCTTCCCGTTAATATAATGGGAATTGTTAAAAGATCATGCATATAATATCAATACATAGAACCACACAAAGATTACCAGAATCTATATAATCTGTAAACCTGATTAAACCAGGCCCTGTATACAATTAGTACAGCTCTGTCTTGATCAAACCTTGTATAATCCTGAAAATGAATTAAATCATAATCAACCATATAAACCTATCTAAAACAAACTGTTGTATTACAAAAACCTGTGCAGTTTAGAAACATGTTGAAAACCCTGAACCAAATAATCTGTAAGCTGTGTAGTTTTACACGTTCATGTAGGGCATAAGACAATCTTGTATGTCAAAACGTACTGGTCCATTTGGTTTTAGTCAGGTGTTACAGTGTGAAGTTTTGTTCTTTGAAGTGTAGGTGAGGGTTTAATATAATCAATTGGATTGTTTCTGATTTTTTGTGGTTATAAATATGAATATTATTTGCCATTATAAATAAAAACAGTATAAATGATATATTATCTAACCCTTTCACCACTGTAGACCATAATGGACTCATCCAGATCAATGCATGGAAGAGTCTACTAAAGTTACATAGGGGTGAAATGGCTAAACTAAAATTATGGATGTAAAACTTGTACAGTATTTTACCGATGATAAGCCCATACCTGATACATAATAAGCTCACCCCATTAAGTTTATATATATATTTGTCCATTAAAAATTCTAGTAATAATTGGTTGCTTTTATGTTTATGTACATACAGTAATGAATATTTTGCGTTTTTTTTCTTTTCAGGGACAATCAAGGTGAATGTGTGTTCGAGTTCCACTGGAAGTCAAAGGTCGCCTGCAGTCTGATTAGGTATGATGTCAACATTGCAAGCAATATATATTATATATTATCTTATACTGTAAATTATCAGTAGTGAAGCAGACGTAAAACCTATCAATCAATCGATCAATCAATACTGTAGTGGAACTGGATTGGGTCGATCGTCAGCGACCAGATAGCTCAATTGGTTAGAGCGTCCGTCTAGAGACCGAAGGGTCCCGGGTTCGAACCCTGGTCTGGCCTTGCATTTTTAGCTCACCTGGTACGTGGCGCGGCGTCCGGCGTCAATATTTTACTTTAAACGACTTCTTCTTAATAACCTAAAGGCCTAGGGTGATGATATTTGGCCAGAAGCAAACTGGGATGAAGGGTTACAAAGTTTGTTCAAATTTATGACCTTCAATTGTATTCAAGGTCACAGGGGTCAATTGTCTTGAAAAACCTTTAAAACAACTTCGTCTGAATAACCAAAATGCCCAGGGTGATGATATTTGGCCAATAGCATGCTGAGATGAAGGGCTACAAAGTTTGTTCAAATGAATGACCTTCACCCATATGCAAGGTCACAGGGGTCAAATATGTAAAAAAAACTTTAAACAACTTCTTCTGAATAACCAAAATGCCCAGGGTGATGATATTTAGTCAGTAGCATACTAGGATCAAGGGCTACCAAGTTTGTTTAAATGTATGACCTTGAATCATATTCAAGGTCACAAGGAGCAAATATGTTCAAAATATTTAAACAACTTGTTCTGAATAACCAAAAGGCTCAGGATGTTGATATTTAGTCAGTAGCATGCTGGGATCAAGGACTACGAAGTTTATTCAAATGAATCACCTTCACCCATATTCAAGGTCACAGGGGTCAAATTTGTTTAAAATCTTTAAACAACCTCTTCTGAATAACCATGAGTCCCAGGATGTTGATACTTTGCAAGTTGCATCCTGAGATGAAAGGCTATAAAATTTGTTCAACATAATGACTTTGTTCGACTTTCAATCACAGGGGTGAAATGTTTTTAAAAAGATTAACAGGTTCTTTTGAATGAATTTTAATCATAAATACTGATATTTTGCTTGTAGCTTTAATTTAGATCACTTTTAATGTTACAAGTGTGAGATTTATACCAGGTGAGCGATGCAGGCCCATTGGGCCTCTTGTTCCTCTCCTGTTACATTTGGCGCCCAACTAAATATACCCACAAAAGGTGTTATGGGGTCTTGTGTGTCTTCGGGGTCCAAGACTTTGTTAAAGGAGAGAGGAATGTAGCGGAACTGGACTGGGTCGATCGTCGGCACCAGGTAGCTCAATTGGTTAGAGCGTCCGTCTAAAGACAGGAGGGTCCCGGGTTTGAACCCCGGTCTTGCTGTATATTTTTTACCCTCCTGTTACAATACCATCAAAAAATGTTAACAGGAAAATATTACTGAAGTTTGTATACTTAATAATTGAATATTTGATATACATTACAGTCAGACAGTCAAAGACAAAGATGGCGCTGTGAAAGATCCAGAAACTGGTGGTGTAATCAACCTAAATAAACTTGGGTAAGTGTAGTGAGAGTGTAGTCTACCTCAATAAACTTAAGTAGGAATCAGAAAGTCAGTTGTCTCTTACCAGGAAGGAACCAGTGAGAGTTACAGTTAGCTGGAGTAGGGGGTAGGGAGTGGTTTCTTCTCATGTACAATGTCTGTAGGAGGAAATATACCATTAAATCATGTCTTCAGGAAACTTCAATCATGGGGTGTCTTTGAAAATTTATACAAGTCTTTGTGCAATATTAATTAATACAACGACTTTTGATAATCTTGGTAATTCAGATGTTCAGTATATACAGATACAGCACTATAGACCAATGAAACCTTTCTCGTACTCAAAAAGCCAGATACTGTGCTGGCCCAAATCCTTGATCAGGTGATAAATTATTCAAATTTCACATTTTTCAAATAATTAAAGGGAATTTAACCTTTCGCAAATTTTCATAAGATTTCAATGAGTTACATACAGTCAGGTTGTTTGAGCATAGAATTCAAATTTGAGAATGAGAGTGATTTAATGAATACAGGCCGAGATGTTTTGATAAAAGATGGCTGAGCTAATGAAGCACATTGTGAAGCACAGATAAATGTGATCTTATGTATACATAATGTTTTCCAGGTCGTCTAACGTAAGAGTCAGTGACACAAGTTACTATGAGCTGAACCCCTCCAGTATAGTGGGTTCGTGTACAGATTCTGTTGTTTGTCTACACGACACCACATCTACAGTACAAAATATTGGGGCATATTCAAAGAGAAAATTTTCTTTTGAAGGTAAGACAAAATCTTCTGTAGAAAAATAACTTTTTGAAATGTATACTGCAACTTAGATAATCATTGAAAAATTATTGATCATCCGGAAAAGTTCAAAAATAATTTGGAAAGCTAAATGATAATCCTTAATGTTCACTAGTAAATGAAAATCAAGGAAGCTCATAATTAATAGCTCTGTATTTAATTACTAATTACTATTCCTGCTTATTTACTGCATTATTGTTGACCTGAACATATGTCTGGAGAGGCTTTGGTGAGAGTATCAATTTGACATGCTGTATACTAATCTTAAATGAACCAAAGGGCCAAGGTAGCTTACCTATGTAATGCCACATACAGCATCTGGAATCACCTATTCCTTAAATGGTGCAGCTTCCAAGGGAACAGGGGACATTGCTCCAGATGTGGTTATCAAATTTGACCTTTATTAGACTTCTTATTACCGTACATATCAATGAGGGGAATTTAACCAAATTTAGCCTGAAGCTTATCTTGGCCAGGGGGAATTAATCTTGTTCATTTATACCAGTTAATATTTAAAAGATTACTTAATAAGCATGAGCAAAGGGATTTGGTCCTTTTTGACATGGATTATTCATATTAGAATTTGATTTTGTATAAAAGGAAGATCATGGTCGACCTGTGGATTAGATGGAAGGGTGGGGCCCCAATCTGAGAGCTTGGGTGGTGGTAAATCTTAAACAGACTACTTAAAGTTTCACATTCCAAGTGCTGCTGTTTGAATTCTTTTCTTCTATAAACAAACTGAGATGGCCATCATGATCTCAAGTTAGCAGAAACGTTTCAACTAACTGTATAGCTCAGATAGCAAGACAAATGAGCAATACACCAGCCCAATGAAAGTTAACTGTTTATAGATTTGTTCTCTCAAATTTCTATGCCCAAGCTTGTTTGTATATTTATGGCCCTTTATTTGAGATGTGGGTGCCCTATAGTAATCATGGTGTCTGTCTGTCTGTCGACATGGTCATATACTGTGGTCTGTAAATGCCTTATAGGGGTTTTAAATTTTATAAAGTCTAGGTTACTGTCAATTAGAATAGACCATTAGGGTACTGTCAGGCACATGGCGGGGCTCTAGCTGAACAGTTGGTGTTCTATTTATATAGACTAATATACACAATGTTTTTACAGGGCCTGTATGTTTCAAACGGTCAGAAAAAGTGTTACATTTGAAGCAATCCTCTTACTGTTTAAAAACAAGGAAAGTGAAAAGAGGCTCATAAAAGTCAGTGTTTTAGATAAATATAAGAAATGATATATATAAAAAAGGAGGAAAACAATTATAATTTAAGCAAAATGTTGTTGAATTAACTAGCCATTCCCCTTTCCTGAAAAAACATGTTCAGATTTTGAGTACCGGTAATTCTCTGTTCTACAGATGGAATGTTGGAAGCAGAGTATGAGTCCGATAAAATCTGTGTCCAGGACAGGAAGAAAAATGTCAAGGCCATTATAACATTCCACTGTAATGACCAAGAGGTACGACTTACATCGTTAACATTTATCATACCTGTCTACATCGTTACATCGTTTACATTTATCATACCTGTCTACATCGTTACATCGTTTACATTTATCATACCTGTCTACATCGTTACATCGTTTACATTTATTATACCTGTCTACATCGTTACATCGTTTACATTTATCATACCTGTCTACATCGTTACATCGTTTACATTTATCATACCTGTCTACATCGTTACATCGTTTACATTTATCATACCTGTCTACATCGTTACATCGTTTACATTTATCATACCTGTCTACATCGTTACATCGTTTACATTTATCATACCTGTCTACATCGTTACATCGTTTACATTTATCATACCTGTCTACATCGTTACATCGTTTACATTTATCATACCTGTCTACATCGTTACATCGTTTACATTTATCATACCTGTCTACATCGTTACATCGTTTACATTTATCATACCTGTCTACATCGTTACATCGTTTACATTTATCATACCTGTCTACATCGTTACATCGTTTACATTTATCATACCTGTCTACATCGTTACATCGTTTACATTTATCATACCTGTCTACATCGTTACATCGTTTACATTTATCATACCTGTCTACATCGTTACATCGTTTACATTTATCATACCTGTCTACATCGTTACATCGTTTACATTTATCATACCTGTCTACATCGTTACATCGTTTACATTTATCATACCTGTCTACATCATTACATCGTTTACATTTATCATACCTGTCTACATCGTTACATCGTGTACAGTTATCATACCTGTCTTCATCGTTACATCGTTTCCATTTATCAACCATGTCTACATCGTTACATCGGTTACATTTATCATACCTGTCTACAGCGTTACATCGTTTACATGTATCATACCTGTTTACATCGTTACATCGCTTACATTTATCATACCTGTCTACATCGTTACATCGTTTACATTTATCATACCTGTCTACAGTCAGTATAATACTGTCATCAGATGTATATATACCTAGACATCACATGGGTGGTTACCATGGTGACTGACCAAAGGAGTTGTTGAAATTCCAGAATCACAGTGTTAGTATTGATGTAAGTTTGGGCCCTCCAATTTCCCCTGAAAGGTCCAGTATAATCTTTTACTGAATTAAAGTAACAGAATTTATTAAGCTTGTGTGTAATTGCCCTCTTTTAATTTGTTGAAACCTTGCTCACAACTGTTATACATGTGCAATTTTATCCTACACGAAACTACAATAATTTTCTGTTATCAATTAATACATACAAATTACAACACAGAAGTGACTTAATGTGTAACATTATAAGAACTATCTGAGATTTCTGAACATCATTAATGAATTAATAATATTTGTTGATGATTTTCACTTTTGTCTTGGTATCTAGGGAAGTTTCTCATCCCTTGAGAAAATATTCATTTCTGCCTTGGTGAAAGGTTTTTTTACAGGTTTGTAAATTCTTGTCAACCTCATAAAAGGTCAGTAACTAAATGCTAACACTGTTGTGTCCTTAATCCACAGAATTCCCCAATACTGTTGTCACGATCCAAAGATTGTGTCCACATGTTCCTGTGGGAAACTCCGGTTGCCTGTCTCCATCCTAAAGTGTGAGTATATAACAACATGACAAAATAACTACACGATTATACAGGTTCTTTCTTTGTTCATGTACAGTGTATTTCTATATTTCATATAAGTGTCAACACAAGGTGTATTCTCTTAATGTGAGTAGTGTACATGGGTTGTACTCTCCATGTGGAAACAATGAGTTGCTGAAACCTTTTAATTGTTTTGTGTTCTAGATAAAGTCCCCGGTGATTTATAACACTGTTATTTGTTCTCTCGACTAGATAAAGTCCCCGGTGAATTATAACACTGTTATTTGTTCTCTCGACTAGATAAAGTCCCCGGTGAATTATAACACTGTTATTTGTTCTCTCGACTAGATAAAGTCCCCAGTGAATTATAACACTGTTATTTGTTCTTTCGACTAGATAAAGTCTCGGTGAATTATAACACTGTTATTTGTTCTCTCGACTAGATAAAGTCTCCAGTGAATTATAACATTGTTATTTGTACTCTTGACTAGATAAAGTCCCTTGTGAGTTATAGCACTGTTATTTGTTCTCTCGACTAGATAAAGTCTCCAGTGAATTATAACACTGTTATTTGTTCTCTCGACTAGATAAAGCCCCCGGTGAATTATAACACTGTTATTTGTTTTCTCGACTAGATAAAGTCCCCAATGAATTATAACATTGTTATTTGTTCTCTCGACTAGATAAAACCCCTGGTGAATTATTACACTGTTATTTGTACTCTTGACTAGATAAAGTCCCCGGTGAATTATAACACTGTTATTTGTACTCTTGACTAGATAAAGTCCCCGGTGAATTATAACATTGTTATTTGTTCTCTCGACTAGATGAAGTCCCCGGTGAATTATAACACTGTTATTTGTTCTCTCGACTAGATAAAGTCCCCGGTGAATTATAACACTGGTATTTGTTCTCTCGACTAGATAAAGCCCCTGGTAAATTATAACACTGTTATTTGTTCTCTCAACTAGAAAGGTGTGCTGTCGCAGGTAATGTTACAGTTTTGTTACGTTGCTCTGCTTCTTAGACCACAGGTGTTTATGTTGTTGTTCTGATTTCCCAGAGTGATTGATGCGCCCATAGACAGTTCCAAAGCAAATGCAGCTGCTGCAGCCGCCAGTAAGGGGAAGACGATCGGTACAGTGATGGCGGTGTTTAGTAGCGCCATCCTCGTGTGTGTGCTCCTCATTGTATTCCACAAGAAAGAGCGCAGGTAAGACTAGTGTGTACTTGGTTAAGACTAGTCTGTTCTTTGGTAAGACTTAAGCGAGCTCATATAAGACCAAAATGTGCTCAGTTAAGACTAATATTGTACAATGTACTAAGACTGTAGTAAGACTAGAATGTACTCATTTAAGACTAAAGTGAGCTCAGAAAAAACCAGAATGTGCTCAAGTAAGACTAGAGTGTACTCGGCTAAGACTAGAGTGTACTCGGCTAAGACTAAAGTGTACTCATGTAAGACTAAAGTGAGCTCAGAAAAGACCAGAATGTGCTCAAGTAAGACTAGAGCGTGCTCAGCTAAGACTAGAGTGTACTCAGCTAAGACTAAAGAGTACTCATGTAAGACTAAAGTGAGCTCAGAAAAGACCAGAATGTGCTCAAATAAGACTAGAGTGTGCTCAGCTAAGAACAAATTCTGTTCAGGTAAAGCTTTCTGTCCACAGGTATTAGCCTCCTCTGTCAATACACTTATATTATAGGTGTATTGACAGGCGAGGCTAGTACCTGTGTTCTGTCATTTAAATTTAGAAGCATAAGTTATAAACATACAATCTTCAGATAGAAATGGAGTTAAAGTCTTGAATACCTATAACTAAATTTTCTATTTGGTTTGTAGAAACAATTTATTTGGAAAAACTGCATCTCAATTAATTGAATTTTGGAGACATCAATTTCAATCGATACGACTAATATATATCCTATTTATCCATGTTTTACAGAGACTCCTGCCTTCTGAAGCTCCGTTCTGTGGTGAAGAAGGATACAGAGTACAGATATTCTATGGTAGGACTTCAGAGCACAGACATATGTATAACAGGGGTTGAGAGCGGGCTGTTGAGAGGGGGATGCTTAGAGTGGGTCTCAAGGGGTTGTGTCAATAGTTGGTTGAGAGAGCCATTTTGAGAGTGGGTTGTTGAGATTGGGGTGTCATGGGGTTGGGTTAATAAGAGAGTTATTTTGAGCGAGGGTTGTTGAGATTGGGGTGTCATGGGTTGGGTTAATGAGAGAGTTATTTTGAGCGAGGGTTGTTGAGATCGGGGTGTCATGGGTTGGGTTAATAGTGGGTTAATGAGAGAGTTATTTTGAGCGTGGGTTGTTGAGATTTGTGTGTCATGGGGTTGGGTTAATAGTGGGTTGAGGAAAAAATAATTTTGAGAATGGGTTGTTGAGATTGGAGTGTCATGAGGGTTGGGTTAATACTTAATAGTGGCCATGGGTTTAGGAGAGAGACATTTTGAGAGTGTGTTGTTTGGGTGTCATGAGTGATGGGTTAATAGTTGGTTGATTGGGTTGTCAAACGTTTGTGGGTTGTCAAGGAGTTGTGAATGGTTTCTGGAGAAGGAAGAGTTGAGACTGGGTTTCAAGGGGAATGCTGAGAAATAGTTTATGAATGGGGAAAATTTTAAGAATTGTCAAAAGGTTTGTGGTGACAGTGGTGAGATTTCAAGAGATAAGCTGATAAGAAGGGTTGTCAAGAATAATGTTTCAACCCGGAAAAGGGACATTAACAAAGCACATTTGTTTCAGCCATTAATCTGAAGTATTTTTTATGAAGATTTGTATTTTCATTCAGTCTATAAATGTTAAAAGATTTTGTAATCAGTACTCTGATTTTGTTCGACTTCAGTTGCCTGATGCTATTGGAAATGAGGAATATGAAGACATTTTAGGAGCAGCTAACAATACAGCGGAGCCAGACGAACCCAGGGAGGTGAACACCAATTCAATTGAGAGTGAACCAAAAGTGGAGAGTTACCATGATGACAGTGATGTAGACCTTCTGGAGTGAAGTTGGACATTGCTTGGCTTTCTGTGATAGATTAAAGAGAGGCCAGAACTCTCTTTTGTGATAGGTCGTTCAGAGGTCTGAATTGTTTGTGGTGATGAAATTAGACAGAGGTCTTAACTCTGTGTGGTGATAAAATCATACAGAGGTCTTAACTCTGTGTGGTGATAGGTCATTCAGAGGTCTGAACTCTGTGTGGTGATATGTCATACAGAGGTCTTAACTCTGTGTGGTGATATGTCATTCAGAGGTCTGAACTCTGTGTGGTGATAAAATCATACAGAGGTCTGAACTCTGTGTGGTGATAAATCACATTGAAATCTGAACTCTGTGTGGTGATGAAATTAGACAGAGGTCTGAACTTTGTGTGGTGATGAAATCATACAGAGGTCTGAACTCTGTGTTGTGATAGCTTCCAAACGCCGATAATGTTCCTATCGAATGTAATACATGTATCACCATGCTGTTCACTTCTGCTGGCTAAAAAAATCATTCAAGTTAACTTATTACAAGTATCAAATTAATTTATAAGCCAGAGTTACCTTGAATACTGCCTTAAAGACCACCTGTCTATAAAATACAGATCATTTGCTTATAAAGGCTACCTGTCTTAAAAGTCCACCTGGCTATAAAGGTCAACTGTCTATAAAGTCAAACTTTCTACATAGAATTGATTTTCTCTAGCCATGAGTGGTCTTTGTAAACCTATTTCAGCGTTGTTGTAAATTAATTTATTCACAAGATTAAAATAAACGACACCTAATATCCAAAAACAGTCACATTTTGGTAATGAAAACAAAGTTAAAGTTTTCAAAAGCATTTCTTATATTGAGTGACTGATGTTAGAAACAATTTGCAAATGCAAATGCCTATTACTGTATTATGGACAGGGTTTGAGCGACTGGTCTACTGTTTATATCCTCAAACTGACCCATACCCGAATGGAAAGAATGGAGAGATTTGTATACCTGGTTTAGCTTATAGATGTCATTTTTTTCTGGCATTGTGAATCTGAGAGTAAAAGATTGGAGGAAAGAAGTGAGAGATTTATGAAAAAACGGATATATGCAGCTTTGATAATGTAAATGAGGTAGAATTTCACCTCTGTTTGACATATTTTACCCGTTTTGAAGGGAGCATGAAACCAGGATGGAGGTGTTTTGATATTCTGTGTAGAACATGTTTAATATTTGGATATTTTTTCATAAAATAGAAATTTAACAGATAAACATTGATTAAACAGTAAAAATGTTACATTGCTAAATACTAATTATGGTGTGGAAATATTGTAAATTATTAAATGAGGGAAATATTGATTACACAGTAAAAATTCAACATGATAAACAAAGGTTAAACAGTGAACATTTAAACAGTAAACAAGGTTCTGTATATTTTACAGCATATTACTTAAAATAAACTTTATATTTACATATCTGGTAAATCCAAATCTATCTACCAAACAAGGTATTGCAAACCTACTGAATGTCCAACTTTCAGAACCTCACGATGTGTGATCATGGTCATTGGGTGAAAGATGCTTCTATCATTTTCCTATATATATATTTATATTTGTTTTCATGTTGATGAGATGTTAAGGAATCATTTAAATATTTACATGGTGTGTGGTAATATCATTCCGTGCTGTTTGGATTTTCCTGGTTTTATAAACTTAATGCTTAATCCTTTCATCCCTATGTAACTTTTGTGGACTCTACTATGCATTGATCTGGATGAGTCCATTATGGTCTACAGTGGTGAAAGGGTTAAATATTGAGTTAGTGTGTCTTGTTGATAAACATATCATTTTGAATGTATGAAACTTAATTTGAGACAGTTATTTAATTACTTTTTTTCATACATTAATGGAATCTGTTATCTACAAACTTTGATGAATGTAAGTATCACTTTTAGAATTGAAGTGGGTTTTTTTTACTTTTAAATATAAAACTGAATAAAACAACTTATTCTTTATTTTGAAACAACATCAATTTTTCACGTTTCTTCAATACTTTTTGGTTTGTTTTCCCCATATGAGCATAGAGAAATAGCAATTGAGAGAAAAACTTGATTATGAAGCTTGTCACAGAGGTTTGTACTTTTCTTTTTATAAGCTATAAAAAGTAAATATCTGAATACCCGGTATTCTATCAATTTTTTTTAAATGACTAGGCCCTGTGATTAACAGGATAGGGCATTCAGCAATTAGATTTTATTGTTTAAAGGGAGATCATTTGACATCAACTACTTTGTTGGGTTTCTTAGAGATTTCATGTATTATATGCTGTAATGAGATTTCATATTTTCCTAATAAGCAATTCCTTTTGTGTTTTAACAAAAGGCTAAACAACAACTTGAGTTGAATCAATCAGGGGAAACTCTAAATTGTTGATCTTAAATGGCTGCCTGAAGAAAGACCTGATTTATTTTTGAATTTGGTTTTTGACTTCTCAACTCTTTGAAATTTAAAGGAAAAAATGAACATACAGGCTGCACTGTGACGGTTTCTTACTTTTATGTGGTTATTCGTTTCCCCGACAACAAATAGTTTCCTTGGAGTACGAGGTCATAAGAAGTTGCCAGTTCTGATGGCAGCGCTGTGTGCCATGTTTATAATACATGTTCCTGGAAAAGTGTTATAAAAATTGAAAGTTCTTGAATAAAGCATTATATTTGATTAAGTGCATTATATCTGTTCAGTGCTAAGTTCTGAGATTATAATATAAATATTAACTTTATTTATTTTACAACAATTATGAAACAAGTTATTGCAACTTATATTAAGCACTCTAGTTGGCCCGGATGTTAGCGCGCAGGGGTCTTAATGTGGGAGGAAACTGGAGTACCCAGAGAAAACCCCAGGATGTCAGGTAGGTGACCCCATACCTTTTATTAGTAAACAATTTACTTATTTCGTCAAATGTGCATGAAATGCACATTATATTCATATTATATTGAGTATATATATAATCATTTGTTATCAAGTAAACAATGGTACATTTCTACAATGCTGATTTTGTGAAATGAAATAATGGCTGTAGCTTCATCCCTACATACCCAATTCATATACATATAAGTATACAAATTAAACAGAATACATAATTTTACCGAGATCAAAATGTGTAACTTATCATGAATATACGAAACAGTTTTACCGCAAAACTATTCCATTATTATGTGTTCATGGCAATATTTACAAAACTGTGCTTACTGGGTGATTTTTAATGAGTAGAATTTTGTTTTAGGAATGAATAGTTTTTGCTAGTGGTGTATTTTGCGTTTGTACCAGTATACCATGTTGTTCGTATGAGCTGAAATATACTACTCCTAAGCTGAATAGCATATTATCATTACTCCCTTATTTAGTCGCAATAATTGGCCAGGATATATTTTGGTGTTTTTGGGGAAAGATTATCGGTATTTGCTTTGTAGATTTGGGCTGGGGGTGTCATTATTTTATGAAACGTTCATCTGAATTATTGTGATATGGAATATAGTTTTAGTGGTGTGGTCAGGTATCATATAAACATACCATTGTAAAATTAACCTCTGTATTTGCCTGTAACTTTTGCCTGTTTAAGAGATGTTGTTTCTCGGCACTGAAGATGCTAAGACTCGCTGTTAAGGTTATTGCCCTTATGGTAGGGAAACAGGATTCTTTTTTATGGTCACAAGATTAATCATGTTTTACAAGGGCGAAGCTTGAGTGAAACATATTAATTGAGGGGAAACAATTAATCGAGTTTCCCTGATGCAAGGGAAATAAATAATGAAGATGATCAGACACCTGTCCCATTGTTGTCATCTGCTTCAGTCACTTGAACTCAGGTGTGGTTCCTCTTGTTTTATTTTCTCAAGAGGTTCAGGAGAAGGGAAAAATGACTCAGAAATTTGAGCATGTGAGGGAACATGATGTTTTGTTTCCCTGTCATTGTGATCCATACAAGTTGTTAACATTAATGCTATATTTCTAGTTTTTCATGTTTTACAGAAGTACATTGTATAGAAGTACATTCACCTTGATCATGTTCACCATTCAAAATACCGTTCATTAATCTGTGTTCTATTAAACTGACCATACTAAGTGATTGGTGAATTGTCCATTTTGACAGTCGCTTTCGCTGAACTAATGATCTGTACCCATTAAAAAACCATGACTTGTCATTGTCAAGTTGGACCAATGTGTGCTCAATGGCGATGTGGTTGAATTATTTTTTTCTAATATAATAAGCCATTTCATTAAAATGACCTTGAAAGGTTAATTTATATATTGTGTTCGAGTTGTTGTTCTTCAAAATATCTAATGTTGTTTTCTTTTTACCAGAATAACAGGTAAAGTCTTTGACCTGATGATAGTAACGTGTACTTTCAAAAACATCCTCATTTGATAGTCACCACTGGCGTGAAATTTGAATGTGCCTTCATCTTAAAAGACGGGAATCTTGTTTTTCAGGAGACAAGATAACTCGAAAAGTATTGAATAAAAAGTGTGGAGTTAATTACAGGGACATGTGCACTAAGTATGTCAAATGTGGAGATTAGGTTTGTAGAAAATCCAGCTGACTAGAATTGATCACCATCTTTAATCTGATTTCGTATGTTGACATAGCTTAAGTAAGTTTTGTTCAGGACAAGAACATATTTTACAGTAGAATGTAATCGATCACAGTAAAATCAAGCCAAAGAAAATGTCGTGGTTAATAAAGCACTTGATATTAAGTTGGATTTCAAGTTACACCCACCTGAAAAAAACATCCAACACATTTTTCGTTGGCAAAAATTGAAATCTAGAAGCTCAGACAGTGGTGCTGTTTTCGTTTGGATTGTTTGTGTTTTATGTCCTATTAACAGCTATGGTCATTTAAGGACCTGCCAGGTTTTGGTGGTGGAGGAATGACGGAGTTCTCGGGAAAAAAACCACCGACCAACGGTCAGTACCTGGCGACTGCCCCACGTAGGCCTCGAACCCGTGACCCAGTGGTGGAGGGCTATAGCTAGTGGTAGCAGAATGTCCGACGCCTTAACCACTTGGCCACTGCGGCCCCCTGCTATTTTCGTATTCGATATCTAGGGTACTGAAATTCAGAACAAGAAGAAAAATAAATACCAGATATTGACTAAACTCTCAAATATTGCTGTCACAGCACCACAGACTTTCTAGATTTCATTTTTCCCGGGATGGGGACAGACCCTCCCTAGGTTGGCAAGATCATAAATGTTGCATGCACATGTTTACAGTCCAGTTATGTCAATCCGGAGGTGTCGCTTCCAGATCTGATGGTATAGAGGAATGCCTTTTCTACATTGTTGTCAGAAAGATAGGGGAACTTTAGGTTTCTGTAATGCTCAGTCTATTTCACTCAATTGTATTTCTCACGTCACACACATTTGTGACACTTAATTTGCCCGAGTAAAATTGCTTTGCAGAAAGGCAGCCATGTTGACAAGAGTTTGGAATAACGGAGAAAACGAATGCTTCGATAGAGAAATCTTTCCATGAACGGTATTTCTTCCCTAGTTCCGTTATCTGCCGGATGAATTGCTTTGATCTTCAAGAGAGGTTGAAGATATAACGACTTGAGATTTTTACAGGCTTCGTTTTGGGAGTTTCAACTTCAATCTGGCCGTTGTTTAGTTGGGATTTTGTACTTTTCGTTGTTTAATAGTTTACTTCTAGTATATGATATCTTGATTTATGGCGGTTGATCATGAGTATAGGTCCATTTTGTGTGTGTCATTTTCCCGCCTTTTCGCTTTGTCGCCGCGACATGTGTACCGCGAGAAAAGAAAACGAGAAGCTCGCTAATTAATAAGCATCATCGATAATCAAGAGGTTACGCTCACTTTCGCTCTGTGCAGAGAGCGAAAGTGAGCGTAGCCCATTGATGATGGTTAATGAGTGACCAAAAAAATGTCGCTTTATATTAGACTTCTAACAGCGAGTTTTCGAGGCAACCACGCGACATTCAAAGTGACATTTTCGGAAGGGCCTTTCTGTGATTATCCATGGCTGAATGTTAAAGCGAATGCATGGGCAAAACGTTTATATATTTTGATTTATATTGGTTGTGAAATTCTGATAACACCTTTAGCGGTTTTATAACCTACTGTCGTTATGCTAGCATGGCGTTATGATGTACTGTCTACATTTACGAATGGTACCTATTGTAGGATTAACAGATACAACGTTGCAATGTAGGTTTTTTTTACACTTTTGATCATATATATTGGTTCATTTTAGAGTGGAATAATTCTAACGTGATTGAAATTATAATCATGTGCTGGCAGTATGACGACATGAAAATGAAGACCGCAACCAAAAGAGGTGAAATAGGTTGAAAAAACACCTTTTCTCAATTATTTTAAGGCCAATGGCATATGCATGGTGTAATTCCTTAAAAGACATTTTAGATAAATATTATTTTATAACAGGTATACTGAAGATAAGAGAGGACTTGTGAGTTTTTGTCTGTGTTCTGATAGTTATGTAGTATTGGTGATTCCACGCATCAATTTGTCGAGGAATCCACCGCTAAAAGGCGTAATTTCGCTAACATAATTATACTACTCTCCTTTGCTACACCACAACGTATTACAACTCGTGTAACCGTTACTTAGGTCCATTTTTATGAATTCGCGGGTAACATTTCATGAAACGGGATTATTTCTGTATCCTTTTCTAAAGTTGTGTTGTGCACGGATGCCACGCAAATGTTAAGGCATAATATGCCAGTTCCTATTAATTACACAACATCAAATTACCAGTTTCAAGAGGTCATAAAGAAATAACGGATCAAAAATCGTTTATGGTAAATTAGTAGACTTTACTTTGTGATGGTATAGTCTAGATGCATCCCGAGTATTATCGATTAGTTTGTATTTCGCAATACAGTACACGACTCGGTGTTTTACGTTGATAACATACAGTAGGAATTGCATCACCACTGTGAAATATTCCAAGGGCTGGGTATATAAGGATCTGGCTCGGCTGTAGTAAATTACAATAAAATGTGAACTCGACAGTGACTGCTGTGTGCTCTTTTTCTTTAACGCCTTACCCAACAGGCGGAGACAAGCGGACCAAGTTTTTTGAGGAGAAGAAATCGAAAAATGGTAAGTGGACAAAAAAATATTTTCTTCTTGCAGTTGCTTTATCAAATTTAATTATAGCGAAGGAAAATATGACGATTTATCAAAATTTCACGTAGACATGCGATAAGACTAGGCCACATACAGTACCGACATTTTTGAATGAAATGAGAGAAACAATATTCAATATAATTAACCTTTTTTTATTCTTGTTACACATCTATAGTTCAAAAATATATAGATTATATTGTATATAGAAACGGCTGCCGTTGAACAGATTTAAACGAACTCGGACTGGTCACAAACTATCCGATTTGGCGTAAATCAGTATCCCAAATCAAATTGACCGTAAAATTAAAAGAGAATTCGTATAAAAGAGGATAACTACATAATTAAGTGAGGCAGAGACGTATATACTACTATGGCTTTATACATGTATGTCTCTTGAGTGAGGTGAGGTGAGGTGTCCATGCTGTAAACAGTATGATGTAAACTTTCAACAAGATAGGCTGTCATCTTCTGTCCTTTCATGTGACAATTTAAGTTATATGTCAGTTTTAGAATCATACTTTTTTGCGGAAAGTAATTGTCGCAAGATACACCAGCCAGTCGGTAGTCGCTCGATACGATACGCTCCATCCAACATACATATGATACTCTGATTATTTGTTGTGGTAATTATATACATAAATCGATGTTGCTGTTTACTTCAAGTACCTACATGTAGGCAGAGACATTTAATAATAAATGTATTATGCGTCTCTGATGTAGGTAACTACTTCTTCTTCTTCCTCTTCTTCTTCTTTTGCCGTAAAAGTTTCCGACACATTTCTCAAAAAATATTGAACCGAAATTAACGAAACTTTACACAAGTGTTCATGATGGTAAGGGTGTGTGCAATTGTGTGGTCGATTTTGCTCAAATTTCAAATGCAGGTGTATTTTGGCACTGCAAACATAACTGCGGTGGTTTGGGGGACTTCTGTATTGGTCCCCCATTACAATTAGTACTTGTCATATATAGTTTACTCAACTAATTTCTGTTGAATACTGAATGTTCATTATAACACAAACTGTATGGGACCGTATTAAGAATGGCGTTGAAAGTTCATACGTTTTCATTTGTGCACAATTGAATCAATCGCATATTTATGTATTTATTTGAAAAACAAATCATCAATGAAATAAAATAAAAATCAAGAAAAGTCGTGGAACGAAAAAAGGGTGGGGGGTTAACTTACGTTAGTGATGAACAACTATATTTCATTTGAACACACTTGGTAACCTGGTTTACTTTGCTATTTTAAAAAAAAAAATTGCTGAACGACTTTACTTTGATGACAATTTACTTTGGTTGACACGCAGGAGCTCGTTTCGATCAATAAATAATAATATGGAAAAAATACGATTATTATCGTATGACAATGTAGGTTGCTGTCATGCGATATTATGTCATAAACATTTTTGCTCGTTATCATCTATTGGTCAAAACGAGCTCATGTGGTGAGTTTCTTTTTAGAACATCTTTATTTTCTAGAACAGCTTTCATAGCAAGATAATCCGTTTTCATAGGACTCTGGAAGCTGTTCACGTTCAACCCCGATAAAAAAAACCAAGGAGGGAATGATAAGGAACAACTTGTAAGGTTGAAAAATAAAGGATTCACAATTTATTACGTTTTTCGCGTGAAGTAGCTGTTTCTTGTCTATGTTAACAACTGTAAATAATCATTGATTTAGGTTGACACTTGTGGTTAATTTATGAACTTAATTTTAACAGGTGAACTTTACGGTGGACCAGCTGAGGTCAGCCATGGACCACCGGACCGGTGTCCGGAACCTGGCAGTGATAGCCCATGTTGACCATGGGAAGACAACCTTGACGGACTCTCTGTTGGCCAAGGCCGGGGTGATCAACACTGACCAGGCTGGAGACAAGTGTGCCATGGACACCAGGAAGGACGAGCAGCTCAAAGGCATCACCATCAAGTCCACGTGAGTACCACATATAATTAGGTCAAGTTAATGCAAGGATCGCAGCTAAACTAGGTCAATTTGTGTGTACCCCTGCTAAATTAGGTCAAATTCATGTGATTGCAGCAGCATATATAATTAGATCCACTCTATGCGAGTACCGTGGCTAAATTAGGTCAGAGTCATGTTAGAACTTCAGCTTAATTAGGTCAAGGTCATATTAATGTTAGTACTTCAGCTAAATTAGGTCAAGGTCATGTGAGAACTAGCTGTAGCTGAATACGGTAATGTTTGAATGAGCAATGTAGCTAAATTAGGTAAAGTAACTTGTAAATTCAACAAGTACCACTGGTAAAATAGGTTAAGCTCATGTGTGTACCACAGTTAAATTGGGTCATATACATGAAAATAAATCACAGCTAACAATTTAGTTCACTGGTGTATAACGGTTAATTAATTAGGCCAAACTGATGCAAGTACTGCAGTTAAATAATGTCAAGTTCAATTTGGAACTAGGAAGTTCATTTGTATCACAGGTAAATGAGGTCAAGATGTTCTTATATGAGTACTGTAGGTAAATTATGTCAAGTTCATGTACCAATGAAGTATAAATGTGTGGCACAGCTGAATGAGGCTAAGTTCCACTGCATAGTTAGGTCAATATGAGTACTGCAGGTTAGTCAGGTCAAGTCATTTTGAGTACCACAGATAAAGGGTGAGGTGGGGTCCATGTGTGAACCACAGATAAAGGGTAAGGTGGGGTCCATGTGTGTACCACAGATAAAGGATGAGGTGGGGTCCATGTGCGAACTGCAGCTAAATTTGACGAAATTTCACAAAAACCTTGCTAAGTTAATCAAAATCTTAATTGTTCATTAAGTGTCTGGTTAGCATGTAGCTAGAGATGATGTTTACCAGATGAGTGGAGTATGAATTACACAGTCAAAAGAATCAGTAGGTCAGTCTGCATACTTGTCAGCTTATAGTTTCCTTTGTGGGGAAGAAACAGTCTGGAATAATCTTATAAATTATATAAAGTACTTACAATGACTCATGTTTTAACAAAATGATGATAGTGTAGAATGTCAACTTTGAAGATGTTCCTTGCAATAAATTAATTTATTTTCAGTTTTGACAATTATTTATAATGTTCCATGTGATGTATGTTTTCCACCTTAGTACCAATATTGTCCAACCCGACATATCATTTCTCCTGCAGTGCCATTTCCTTGCTCTACGAGGTAGACCCTAAGTTATTCCCAGCCGGATCAGAGACTGGACTGAAGGAATGCATTGTCAACTTGATTGACAGCCCGGGTCACGTGGATTTCTCCTCAGAAGTGACGGCTGCGCTGAGGGTGGCTGATGGTGCCCTGGTGGTGGTGGACAGTGTTAGTGGTAAGTTAACCAATCTTAGGTGTAATGATACAACGTATAAAATTGTAATAAACATATAAATGACACTGATCAATGTCAAGGTTATAGAAATACAAGAATAAAAGAAATCAACAGAGAATCAAAAAGTTTAAAGTCATTTGTGTATGTGTGTATTCAAGTTTGACATTCATTTTTTGTTTTTGTGAATTCTGCAAAATCATCGCATGAAAGTAATTTGAAGCAAAATTACAAAATGTACCTGTACTAAAAAAATTGTAAAGAATTTTTTCCTATGTACATTATCTTTGTAGATATTGTATGCATATTATAACTAGTCTTGGGTAGTTATTTATTTCAAAAATAAAAATTTAACATATTTGTTTGTGTTTATCTGAGATGATTATGCAAGAATATGGATCTACTTACAAACTTTTGTAATTCTGTAGAATTATCATAGAATAGTCCTTCAAAATAGAAATAAAATAAAAAGTGCCTCTATATGATGTGTATAAAATAAAAGATTATATTGTGATCAAGGTTGATTTAAGCATCAGCACTAATCAAAGGACCACATACAAACCTTGAATAGCTTTGAAGGTCAAAAAGGTCAAATAATCTGTGGATGTTTTCCAGGTGTATGTGTCCAGACAGAGACGGTCCTACGTCAGGCTTTGGCGGAGCGAGTTCGTCCAGTCCTCATGCTCAACAAGCTTGACCGCTGTGTGATGGAGGTCCAGCTTGACCATGAAGAACTGTACCGATCCCTCTGTCGGACAATCCAGTCTGTCAACAATGCTGTGGACATGTATGGTCAGCCTGATGTCATGGGAAAACTCACGGTTAGTAGTACAGTATACTGATATATAATTCTTTGGGAGCAATTATTTCCATATGAACCAATGTAAAATATAAGTCCCCCATAATGTAAACACACCTTGTACAAAAAAACATTTTTGGTCCATTTTACAAATCATTATAAATGGAATCTGCTACGATCGAGATACCATCCCCTAGAAAGACCAGATGAAGTGTAATTATTCAAGACACATTTTCTCTGCAATACACACGGTATCTTTAAAACCAAGAATATCCATCTACAGAGTACCAATTTCTTTCTATAATACAAAAGGGGTAAATAAGTTGTAAATCTGCTTTTTATTACCACTAAATATTTGAATTCGTCAAAAATCTAAACAATATCTCGTTATCATTCCAAGTCCTTGATATTATGGATTTTTGTTGTGGTCTTCACCAATGGGTATTTTGGTGTGTGATATTCAAATGCATGCTCTATTATCAAAGAATTTTTGTTACAATTTCTAGCTTGACCCATCGCTTGGTAACGTGGCATTCGGTTGCGGTCTACACCGTTGGGGTTTTACTCTGGTGAACTTTGCACGTTTGTATGCAGCAAAGTTTGGCCTCTCAGAGGAAAAGCTGATGCGTAGGTTGTGGGGCGAACACTACTACAATCCTGGTACAAGAACTTGGAACAGAATCGGTGGAGACGGATATGTCCGCGGATTCAACAAGTTTATCCTTGAGCCACTCTACACTGTAAGATATTAAAAAAATTGTCAGAGAAATGTGCGCACAGCTGTTGTATCATGATAGAAAATAATGGATCATGGAGTCTTGAAAATAACAAAATCTTAAGTTTCCAACTGAATAAGAAGAAATGAAAATTTGTTGAAATAATCAAATCAGAATTTTGTACTGGAGCAAAGCTGACTGAAAATGTCTTGAAATTGTTTTAGGAGTGGTAAACTGCTAAAAAATCAGTTTTCCGTCAGTATCCCATCTTCTCTCCCTTGAATTTTACCAGGAATTGTAGAAAATGTTAACAGCAAGTTATTATCTACTTTAGGGGTGGGAGTGGTTTGTTTATCACTGTTACATTGTAGTACCTGTACAATAAAACATTGTTTTAATGGTGTTTTAATTAAATCATTGTATCAGTTGACTTAAAATTGAATGATATTGATGTCAAGATGAAGGAAATAAATTATATTGTGATTTTAGTTGTGAATCGGTTAATTTGGCTGATTTGTGAGTCACCATATTTAATCAATTCACCTGTCACTTATAATTTGAAAATTGTAAAAAATATGTAAAATTATTTGATTATCTTTTACATGTGTATTAATATGAAAAGTAATATGGTAAATTTTATCCAGGAATAAAGATGAATAGGCGCCATGTGTCATATTCACAACTGAAATGTCCACTAAAAAAATGAGAAAATTTAATATAGATATAAAGGAACTGGCACATTAAAAAAGTAAAAAAAAAATAGCAACTAGCCCTTCTAATCACTGTTTGTCTTTACAGATGCTGAACACTTTGAAGACAAAAGAAAAGGAGGAAGTCTTCAAATTGACAGACAAGCTCAACATCCATCTGTCTGGAGAGGAGAGGGCAGAGAGTGGTAAACCTCTCATGAGAAAGGTCATGCAGAAATGGCTGCCTGTGGCCGATGCCTTGCTCGAGATGTTTGTTGCACACCTGCCGTCGCCTCTGACAGCACAGAAATACCGTACAGATCTACTGTACGAAGGACCCATGGATGATGATGCTGCTGTTGGTATGGACATTTTGTAACATGTACCTGAAAATAAAGAAGGAAATAAATCTCAGATACCTGTTTATGTCAGACACTGTTTAAGAGAAGAAAATTAATTTTCATTGTTAACACATTAAGAAAGCATTGTGATTAATTTTGAATTTATTTGATCTAATTGTGATAAATTTAAATCTAAACAAAATTATGCTGATTTTTTGACAGTTTTTTCTTCTTCGTTTTTTAAATTTTGACTCCTATAGCCTAGCAACAGAGTAATTGGTTCCTTACAAGGGAGCTAGATCCCTAAACTGAACATCACCTCTGATTAATTGTTGACCTCTTGACCTTTGCAGCCATGAAACACTGTAACCCTAATGGACCACTGATGCTGTATGTTTCCAAGATGGTACCAACATCAGACAAAGGACGTTTCTACGCGTTCGGCCGCGTATTCTCTGGGACAGTAACAACTGGCCAGAAGGTCCGTATCATGGGGCCAAAATACGAACCAGGCAACAACAAGTCAGCTGACCTCTTCATCAAGACCATTCCAAAGTGAGTAGATTGTGGAAACCGAACAACATGTTAATCAAATCTTCAATAAGATTCACCAGTTTGGAAATATGTGATATCAAAGTTTTTCTTTTTACACAAACAATGTACGTATTAAACGTGTCGCAACGTTTCAAGACGAACAAAGTCATAGCTTGACAAAGGGACCAGTCGGTCTTGAAACGTTGCGACAAGTTTAATATGTCTATTGTTTGTGTAAAAAGTAAAACTTTGATACAACATGTTAATCAAATATTTGCTTACAGACATAGATATGACTCTTCAGATTATACAGTCCGTATGTTGACTAATAAATGAAAGCTGAATGTCTGTTTACACAGGTTTCTATGTCATTCAGCATTCATATTAGACAGTTTACATTGTTGATAATTAGATACATTTTATTTTGCTTTGTTCTTTATATATTATTATTAATTTTACAGTGAATGACTTTGTATAAGGTTGATACACTTGTTGATGGACATATATTAAATTTATATGCTTTTTTTGAAATCGTCTTCAAATGGTCATTTTCAGAAATAAAATGTTTAAGTTATTTATTTTCAAAATTCATGAAAATTTTACTTGAATAATGAGGTCTAGATTTATTTTATGCAATGTGATGGTTGTCATGTTTTTTTGTTGTTTATGACAAGAGATGATGTGACTATTGTGTTGTTCTAGGACCGTTGTGATGATGGGTGCAGGGACCATGGCCATAGATGAGGTACCCTGCGGTAATACAGTGGGATTGGTGGGACTGGACAAATATCTGATCAAGTCCGGCACAGTCTCCACTTACCAACATGCCCACAACATGGCGGTGATGCGTTTCTCCGTCAGTCCAGTTGTCCGTGTGGCAGTAGATCCCGTGAATGCAGCTGAGTTACCTAAACTGCTGGAGGGTCTACAGAGACTGACCAAGTCTGACCCCATGGTTCAGGTCAGTATTAATTAGCGGTCAAATGTTCCTTGAAGTAATATATACCGTCACTATTTGTCCAAAGAAATTCTGACATTATTAAGGGGTTTAGTGATAAAAAGGGTTCAAAAGAAACAGGAAAAGGGGACATGGAAATATGTTAGTTGAGGCGTCAAAAGAAACAAGGGGTATTTCAAGTATCTAATAATCCATAGAACACTTCAGATCAAGGAACAATTTAGCAAAAGTATTCACATTAAAAAGTAATCCAAGTTTTTCATAGTACAATGTATTGAGATTCGGTAAAAATCATTTCATTTTTTCCATCTGTCATGATTAATGAAATACGATGTATTAAGGTTCCAGGAATGATGAGATTTTCCTAAAAAAAAATCTAGTAGGTGATAAACATGATATGATATATATTTTATATTTACTTTCATTTTACAGTGTATAACAGAGAATGGTCAACACATTGTGGCCGGAGCAGGCGAGATGCATCTAGACATCTGTCTGAAGGATCTGGAGAATGACCATGCCTGTATCCCAATCAAGGTAGGAATTCTAAAGAAAACAATATGTTTGTAAAAGAAATCCAATTTTTGAAAAATGGTTAAATGAGAAAAAGAAGCCCTGATCTCTCTTACTAGAAATTCATCATAACAACCGTCTTTTTATCTTTTCCTGTAGCGGTCTGAGCCAGTGGTCACTTACAAAGAGGGTGTGACACAGCGGTCAGATCGGGTGTGTCTGGCCAAGTCCTTTAACAAACTGTGCAGGTTAATGATGACAGCAGAACCACTAGAGGAGACACTCTGTGAGGATATAGACGAGGTATGTGACATATTTCACCAAGCAGAACAACTAAAAACTAATTGTTATGAACATGATTTAAGTGCTTCACTCGAACTAGTCGAGTGATCTATTCAGGTTAAGCTGTGAACAGAATTAATTCATATGGCTGAGAATAATATCAAAACTATACACCATAAAAATCTGAAGGTAATAAATTTATAGCGAAAAATAGAAACATATGGGCTAGCACAAGCATTGTCTGGCTTATGTGATTAGAGAAATCTACTTCATAAACAAAACTACAACTCAATCCCTCCCCGACCACCAGCACCACCAATAAAAAAAAGAGCATTTATCAGTCTTTTCAGAGTGTAGGTAATTCATATCTATAAACATGGTAACTACACATTTATTTTTTACACCAGGGAAAGGTCAAGGCTACACAGGATGTACGTGAGCGAGCGCAATATTTGGCTGCCAACTACGGCTTTGACAACCAGGAGGCTCGGAAGATCTGGTGTTTTGGTCCAAACAATAATGGGCCCAACATGTTGGTGGATGCCAGCAAGTCTGTACAATACCTACAGGACATCCGTGACATAGTCAGGGCTGGCTTTCAGTGGTCTACAGAGGAGGTAAGGTTAAGTAGCATGTATTGATGATGGGGCATTTGAAACATTGGAATGCAACTTTAGTAACAATACCTAGCACATGAGACTAGAGGTACATTAGTTATCGAAATTTCTTAAATATGAAGCAATAACAACACATTGTCTGCTGAGACAATAGGAACCTTTGTTATCCATGTTACTGAAGAAACAAACTCTTTGAGACTAGAGAAGCATATTTGTTTTTCTTTTCTTTTTCACTCCAAACAATTAGAACACAATGACTGATGAGATGGGGGGACATGGGGGACATTGATTGTTTATGGTACAAATAACAATAAGCATGAGGATAATGAGGTTTAAGAGAACACCTGCTATCCAAATTATCCATGCTGTAAACTAATTGGTCTGTGGGAGATTTAAGATTACTTACCTGACAATTTATTCTCAGTCTGACATTTTTAATTGATCAATTAAGAATTTAATTTAATGCAATAAGACAAGATACTGCAATTTTACTTGGTCTTTAGGATAAATAGGATAATTACTAGGCTATAAGATATTGAAATAAACAGCAGTACATGTACAACCAAATAATGACCGATTATGAGAGAAAATGGAAATTGTCTGTATACAGAAGGGACACTTGCATATAAAGTATGTTTTCTAATTGCACAGGGAGTGCTATGTGAGGAGAATATGCGTGGTGTGCAGTTCAACATACAGGACGCCCACATCCATAGTGACCCCGCCCACAGACGTGGGGCGCAGATCCTGCCTGCCACCAGGCGTTGTCTAATGGCCTCTGTCCTCACAGCGGCACCCAGACTGATGGAGCCTGTCTATAAGGTGGAAATCAAGGTTTGTATATTGGGCAATAACTTCTATAAAAGTGCTTTCATGAATTATTAAAGAAAAGGGCTGAAAAGTGTGGATCTGTTTGTAACATGGAGTCCGGTTTGAAGACTTTTAAAAAATTTATAAACATCATTAAGACAAAAATATCCCTATCCCACTGGAACAAGGATCCTTAAGTTAAGTTTTTTTTGTTCAGTTTCTGTATTAAAGACACTTGACCCATTCCTAAACATACTTATTAAAGCAGAAAATCTGTGAGATGAGTTTCATGAGAGATTAATGGTCAATGTATTCTCTAACTTAATATATGTGTACTTTTCAGGCACCCAAGTATGTACTGGGAGGCGTGGTTAGTGTTCTGACTAAGAGGCGAGGACAAATTGTTGACCAAGAGGAGGATGTGGGCACACCCATGGTCACCCTCAAGGCCTTCCTACCAGTGAATGAGTCCTTTGGTAAGCCATCACACCACCACAGTGCTAGAACTATAAGTGTTCAACAATAACTGTTGAGTTTTATTTTTTTAATCTTTAGAATAACAAATTTCAGAGAAAAAAAATATACTTTTAATTTTTCTTAAAGTGCCATCTGCAGGGAGATCACTGATTTTACAATATTACCTGTAGATAGATTTGAAAACATTTGAATACACAAAAATATCTTCAGAATTAAAAAAAATAAAAAATCTCGGCAAGAGATTCTAGTTTCTAAATAGATATAATGCATTATAGATTTTGCAATAGATATTTGAATGTATGCCGAAAATGAATGAACAATTTTTCAACACTTTTTTTGATAGAATCATTCAATACTCGTTTTTTCTTTCCAGGTTTTACTGAAATGCTGCGTGGCGAGACAGGCGGTCAAGCTTTCCCTCAGTTGGTGTTTGACCACTGGCAGGTTCTTCCTGGAGACCCACTGGATAATACTTCCAAGGCTGGAACTGTTGTCAGGGCGATAAGACAGCGGAAGGGCCTGAACCCGTTAATACCAGCCCTAGACAACTTCCTTGATAGGCTGTAGAGGACGGAGGAAATCCTGTTTTGTTGTGTTTAAACACAAACTTTCGCTGCTATTTTCCTAAATAAATTGGGATTTCATTATGATGAACAACGGCAAAAAAAAATCACTAATGAAAAAATCATGAAAATTTGAGATTTAGATATTTAATACAGAAGTAAAATGGTCAAGGTAGCAATTATTTAAAGCTCTATTTCAGAACAAAGACTTTGTGGAAAAATAAATGAGACTTACAAAGTGGAAAATGGTGGTTTTATCATTTTAAATGCAAGGTTTGCACAACAGGGTCATTGATGGCCAGATATAGCTCAATGATAGCTAGAATATCAAACTATGCTGCCTTTTCTCACTCCTGCACAATTAACTGTATTCAAGTCAGAAAATTTACCGGATGGTCCTTAAGAAAATACATCAATCTTGGTACTCAAAATAACGAAACTATTTTCTCATCTCTGCTGCTACATACTTTATATTGGGTTTTTTTCCAGCATGATCAACCTTTCCAAGTCCTGCAATCCAAGTTCCCATATTGGCCCATCTTAGCCTTGTTCCCCGATATTATCATCAAGATATATTTTCTTGATTGTCACATGATATTTAAAGATACTTAAATGTAGCAGCTGATCAAAGAGAAACCATATTATGCGGAATTCATGACTAGCTAGCTATGCAAAAAAACAACAACAAAAAACGATGCAAAATGAAAGGATATTTATTTCAGATTTCTATCATTTTTCAAACCCATGATATACAAATAACCAAGATAATTTTGGCTCATCAGCTGTCTACGAGGAGAATCTACAGTTATTCATATATCTGTGTGTGACAATTGTGTACCATAAATATAGTAAATAAAATATTACTCTATATTTATCACACTGGAAAATATGTATAAAAAAATCCTACAGACGCTATGTACAGTACAATATACATAATTGTCAACAGACAGTCCATCTGTACAATCGTCGATAGAAATATTGTGTAAAATAATCTGCATACCAATACAGTACCAATACTCCCAACACTCACAAATACAAATGTATATGTAATACAAACCATTAATTGGGCCAACCTTATAGAACTTTGATATACAGATGGGTTCAACATATGAATAATTTCTAGTGGAGAATTTTATTTGTATACATTTTGATTAAAAACAAAACACTTGCATTGTACTATTAAACCTTCGCTTGTGATATTACTAAGTAAACTTGTAATTGTTCGTCTCGCTGCAACGTCTTGAAAAAGAAATTTTTTTTTTTTTTTTCCACATGTGATCTTAGCAGACACTGAAGATTATAATTAATTTAAAAGTAAATTCAGATTAAGAACAATGATGTTTAGGGACAAAAAACCGAACCACTCTGATCTCCACATCAGAACAACATGTACCTATCAAATGTAGAATGTGTAGCAATACCATTGCGAATGTTACCAGATAATTTCCAAAGCTTCAGTATGACATCCGAAGTCCTTTTCTGTACTACAAGACTTGTGTAATATAATAATTTATCATCTAGAGTAATGCTAATGGCTTTTAAATAACATAAATACTGACTAGTTAAAACATTCATCATCCATGAGCATTTTATAACAAATATAATACATGACGGAGCATGTACTTCAAAACTATAACAGATCTTTGGTTTTTATAGCAACTTCACATAGAGTAGTCAATTTTGAGTTGCCTTGCCAACATAATAAAAGTTTCTGATTTACTTGGGTGATACACTGTACATAAAAATGTTATTTTACAATTTAAACTAAATATGAATTAGGAACTTCAGAAGATATTGTATAAAAATATTTGATCAAAAGTAAAGTATTTGTTCTCATTCAAACAGTATATGTGTACCTTGTGATTGTGGTCTAATTTCATAATTCGTATTGAGAGTATTTGAAGGTATTTTATGGACACCATAGATGTCACTGGGCCTATATATAGAGCACGCTATCATTTCATGACAGTCTGGTACGGATATATTATAAAATGTATTCCCTATCGTGCGGACATAACAGTAATATCATTTGGCATAAAACAATAAATCAAACAATTTTAGTTGTAAAAGGAATTATACTTGTGACAATACTGAATACTGAACTGCGACAAATACTGTCCAAGTTAATTACTTATAAATTAGGATTACTACTGCGACAAATACTGTCCAAGTTAATTACTTATAAATTAGGATTACTTCTGTGACAAATACTGTCCAAGTCAATTACTTATAAATTAGGATTGCTGATTAAGAATTGTTAATACATGCACATTAACCATTTTTTTTAAAGAGAATTATGTTACAAAGCTGTACAAACTAGGATAATTTATTTGTTCGCAGAGAGCCATTTGTTAGATTTTACTCTAGAGACAGATTAAATAGATATACTGTACAGATATACTTGAGATTCTGTTAACGATATGCAATATATCAATTACCTACCAAAAATATTTTCATTCAAATACCGTACAAGAACCGGTTTTATTTTGTGATTGTTATCACAATACAGTTTGGTGGCTCCAACTCCAGAGATTAAGAATGCTAATTGTACATTATTTTAGCCCAATAAAAACATGGTGACGTACAGAAACGAGACAAGAAACAGAAATATAAGAAAAAATGTATTACTAGTGTAAAGACATCATAATGACATACACCAAGTACTAAACAACGGATTGAAAATATAGGCACCTCCTTAATTCATAAAATCCACAATTTAATTATTGCCATTCATCAAAACCGATATTTTCATTCTGGGTTCTCATGTTAAATTTCTTTGTTGATACCAATAATTCCAGATTTTACAATACTTGATAAGTTTTGAGACTTGCTTTGAATCCAGAAAAGAAAAATCTGAATACCAGGTACCTGGTCATTAGTTTTCCCCCAGATTTAATGGGACAAGCAGATTTATTTTTCAGTAATAATTTTCTATAAAATAAAGTCATACAGCGTATTAAGCCTCCCCTTAGAATGTGGTATCAATTTTATAAAACATTAATTGATCAGAAATTAAAAAATATACGCCGTCAACTTAGCAGTTAAGCTTACATACTGCTTCCAAGAAAAATTAACTATTTAACTCATTCACCCCTGGAATTTCATAATGAACTATTCCAACCATTAACTGTCATTATCTGTAGGGATAAGTGCAATACCAAGGCAAACAAATTTGATAATGTTACGAAAACAAGTACCGGGAAGTATCGCAACCAGAGATTCTCTGAAGCCATGTCCATGTAAAAAGAACAGAAAAGCTTAACTGAGTTCAAATATTGTTAAATGATAAAAGATATAAATGTAAAAAAGCACATTCAATACAAAATAGCACTCAAAAGTGGAGTAGAATGAGGACACATACTACAGATCATAATCTGTGTGTACTTTTCCATTTCAAATAATTTAAGTAAAACGATTCTTCAAATCAGATTTGAACGAACCACAAAATACACAAACTACATACGGATTGAGAAAATTACACAAAACTCTTAATGCCATTCCATAATTTATCGTATGGGGAAGGTGTGAGAGGCAACTGTATTGATATATTATAGGTGGTGGGGTAAAAACCAGATCTCCCTCCCATTCCTTGTATTAAATCACTTTTAAGATTTTCATGGGTTAGGGGTCCCTGAAAAAGTGCCTCCAAACCCTCCCCTACGGTTAATTCTGCAACAGCCCTTTTAACCCTTTCACCCCTATGTAACTTTAGTAGACTCTACCATGCATTGATCTGGATTAGTCCATTATTGTCTACAGTGGTTAAAGGGTTAAAGAACAATGTAAGACATCACCATAGCACTATGGAAGACACACTGAAATCCAGCGTGTTAAACAGCACAACACTGGGGGAACGCTCAATTACCAGGTATACATAGGTAGCTTTTATATTGAAGGTCGATTAGTTCACATTGTCTGGCCATGTCCATGTCTCCGGGACAAATGATTCATAGTCTGCGTCATATAGATGATTACGAATAAATTCCTCTTTATTCTCCGGCTCCGGGTAGGTGGAGGCATTCCCACTCTTGTATACCATTTCAGCGATTCCTGTCGCAATCTTCAATGACACATCCTGAATGTCAGAGAGTGGAGGATACAGACGCCCTTCAGCTAAATGCTCCTCTGTCACCAGCTTGCCAAGTGTCTGTAACAAGCAAGGTCAGCTAATAATCTACACATGTTAAACTAGCAACTGGTGTCGTCAAAATCCAGGTTACATACTGTCCACCAAAAAATACATAGAGGATATCCGAAAGATGATTGCATATATGACTTCCAATTATGAATGTAAACACATTCTCAAATAAAATCTACATGCTGCCAACTGGCATCAATGATTTGTAAAAGAATAAACTCAAAAGAGACTGGATACATAGCATAACATATAGAAAGACTGTTAGACAGAAAACTGTCACTTTCTGTTGAGAACATATAATTTGATGTCACACATCGGGGTTGAACGACTGTTAAACATGAGGTCAATGCAAAACTATTGCTGCATGGCATTACGAGGTCAACATACAAAATGTACAGTCATTTCACAAGGCCAGGAGGTGAATAGCAGTGAAGGGAACAATGTCTGTATTTGGCCTTAATCCAGCAGCTGTTACACATACATACACAATTTAGGTAAAGCTGGAATTGTGATATTTTCGTAAATGTAAATAACATGACTAGAAATCCTAATAACAACGAGAAGTAACATTTTCATATTTTCTAGAATTCTATGAAAAAAATAACCCAAACAAACAAACAAACAAACAAACAGAAAATGATACATTGTACTGCGCATTTAAGTAAATAAATCTTATTAAATTTACCTGAGCGGCCTTCAGGAAGACATCTTCAGAAATGTGTCGTATTCCACAGACAATGGCCCCCAGAGCTATACCTGGGAAGATGTAGGCATTATTACCCTGTCCTGGGTGGAATGTCTTTCCGTTCAACGTCACAGGCAAGAAAGGACTGCCGCTAGCAAAAACACACCTCCCCTACCAAGTAGAATCAGACATAGAATATACACTGTATCAAATTGTATGGGTCGATATATTGAGTTTAGTGTCATTTTCAAACTTGAAGGAAAATTTGTCATTTTCAACCTTGAAGGAAAATTGCAACAGCCAGACCACCAGTTGAAATCTGAACCTCTAAAATCATAGAAACTAAAAAAAAAAAAAAAAATCTTGAGAAATATCTGAAAATCTCCAATATTATTGTGTTCATTGTCTTCAGATATCATGATTTGAATATAAATTACAATTTTTTTTTTTAAATGCACAGGAAAAAAAAAATGTTTTAAGTTTTTGAACTTTAGATGTTCAGACTATGAAAAACAAGACCCTGTAGATAGTTACATGTTTAAAAGCACAAACACATGCCAGACAAGCATTGTTTTGTTTACAATTTCTTTATCTGCTCAAAGTATAAAGACATTTTTCAGATTGTTTCATGTGTTAACTTCACACCGAGTATTATTGACTTACATCAGTGAATTTGTAGGCCTGTTCTGCGGTACATTCCGACATACTGGTGGGGTTACTAAGTGCAAAGATGACAGGTTTTTCGTTAAACATTGCCATGTCTTTGATGATGGATTCTGTGAAGGCTCCAGGCACAGCAGCAGCACCTGGTAGAGGCAACAAAAGTATGGTTGTAATTGTTGTTATTGTGTTGAATTTAATGTCATCAACAATACCCGTAAATAAATGCTGATATTATACATGTACGTGATCTTTTACAAAATACAGTTCAAAACAGAAATTTACAAAAAAGAAATGCTGAATGCAGAAAAATATCCTTTAAATTTTGTTCCAACATTGTATAAATGAAAAGTGTAATAAACCTATCATGGTAACTGTACAAGGTAAAAAATCTGGATAACTTGAAATAGACGTTCAACCATCGACCATCCTAACTTAACCCTTTCACCCCTATGTAACTTTAATAAACTCTGCCATGCATTGATCTAGATAAGTCCATTATGGTCTACAGTGGTGAAAGGGTTAAATAATTCTGTCCATATGTTCCTGGACTGACAATTAGGTATAACCAGTTAGGACATTTTAATATATAAGTATATACCACACTTTGGCATTACAACTATATATAACCCTACCAAATTCAAAATGGCTTCAATGTCACAAATTGTCTGTATACTCATGGTTACACTTGAACAAGCACACAGAACGATTTTATTAGTGTTGCTTTCATTAAAAATTACCTATGAGAATTGAGGGTTTGGAAGCTTTGACCACATCAGCCAGTGTGTCGATGGGTGCTTGATCTTTGGCAAACAAAAGCTTGTGTTCTGTGAGGCCTCCAGCTGGTCTGTCCTGTAAACATTAACAACATTGATCAACTTGTCTCTGCAGAGCTTGAACAATACAGCACTCACTCAACCTCTGTACTGTAATTCAGCACTATAAGATTTTTTTTGCGTCAGAGAAAAAAGTTGGCATTTCTAACACAATAAAATATTACTACATCTGTACATTGATATTTCTCTACGGCAAATAACATAAATACAGGTACACAGTTTATTTAGGGTATAATATCCCCTCTTAAATGGTTTTTTCAATTGCCCTGACATAAAACCTATTTGCAGATATCTGAACTAGAGGATTGTACACCCCTGTAATGGCATAACATTATGTGTTTAAAATAATTTTTCACTGCCTACTTTGTTATTAATAATTCAGATATGTTTAATAGCAGAAAGTATCACAAAGGATTCTATAATGGTCTTAAACACCTTCAATTTTCATTTCTTATACTCTTGTCCTTCTGAGCAAGGTTCTGAAGGAAGAAGTACATGGTTTCATTATATCTATTCACCACAGGGTACATAAATGCATAGGAAGTTATTTTCATAAATACATGTACTTTTAAAATAATTTTAAAAGATTTCTGATAACAATTACCTTTACTAGCAATCCACGACTATCCACCATCCAGATTTTACTGATGGCCTCTTCGGAACTCATACCCTCTTGCTCCATGGCCAGTACCAAGAGACTGGCTATTCCTATAGAAGCCTACAAAAACAGGTTCAAACTTATCACACACCAAAAACAGAAAAAATGGTTATCAGTAACTTTTGACATTTCTAACAGGCTTGTCATGGGAGTATACTAATGATTTCAGCTTTCGAAACTTTCATTCGGCTGGCTTTATTATTGCACTAGCTAGCAAAACAACGAAAAATCCTAGGAACTCGTTTAATGCATTATGCACATTCACTTATAAAATCTTAATGCCAAATAGACAGCAGGTGAAAATACACAGGTAAATCACTATAATTGTTTAACTACAAAATTTTGCAGTCCAGAACACATTTGAGAGGAGATTGCTTAATTTCTTAACAATGACTATCTTAACCATTCCAACCCTAGGTAACTTTAATGGACTCTACCATGCATTTATCGGGATGAGTCCATTATGGTCTACATGGTGAAAGGGTTAATGTACCAACTGAAAATCTAAAAAGTCCAGAGCCTGCCTTTGAAGTTTGGGAGTAGTGTTAGTCTTGAGCATACTTACCTCCCCTGCTCCCTGGAAACAGAACACGTTTTCCCCTAACTTCTTGCCAGTACATTTCAGGGAGGCGAACACTCCTGCCGCAGCCACCGCAGCTGTTCCTGGTTGTCATAAACAATTTTCACATTAATCCTTAATCATCCAGGAAAATTCAAAATCGACTTTATATTGGAAAACATGAGAAAATTAAATGACATCATCATTCTTTTGTAAAATGATAACCTCTTTAAAACAAAATTCAATTAAGAATTGAGCATTTCTCATTAGCTTTTTCTTCGAAATTGTCTTGAAAAGTGTTATTTTTTACCCAACTCTTACAATTTATTGTAAAATAACCAAAAAAATACTTACAGTGAAAATTCAAATATTCGGCCATGGATACCATGCCCTAGTTCATGTTTAGATATCATTCTTCACCAACTAATACAAAGTTATTTCCACTTAAGTAGAAAAATACGTCTAATAAATGTAGTACCTTGAATATCATCGTTGAACACACAGTACTTGTTTCTGTACTTTTCCAAAAACCTGAAGGCATTGTGGTTTGCAAAGTCTTCAAACTGTATCAAAGTGTTCTGTCCGTATCTGTATGGAAAGTCATGACAATGTCATGATTAAATAAATATGCAAACATTTGATATAGCGCCCTATCTAGCTAACATAAGCTACTCTAAAGCGCTTTACATTACATAGATATACAATTAATACAATTAGTATATACATTAATCAATTCAATTTTTAAGGAATTTGCAGGAGCTGCCTTATCAGGCGCTAACTACTAGTCCTANGAATTTTCAAGGAATTTGCAGGAGTGTCTTATCAGGCACTAACTACTAGTCCTATGCCACCTGGCTAATATCTCCCTATGTGTGTATGCCTGTGTGTGTGCTGGAGATGTAATGCGTTCTGTTTGTAGTGGGACCGTGCTTCCAACGGCATCCTTTATAGTGCCACCTAACTTGAACACTACACCACAGATACCACAACATCCACCCCAGACCAATTTATACTCCACCTGGGTTGTTGGAGTTGTGTGGACAGGAGAAAAACACTTTCTCTGAATATTCATGTGTACGACGACTTCTGGGATCGAACCCCAGCCACCTGCGTGAATAGCCGGAGTGTTTACCACTCGACCAATCCGCACATGATTACATTAAATCTACACTTTTTATCAATATTCTGCACCAGAGAAATCTAGAAAAAAAATCTATTTCAAATAGGATGTCAACATGATTATTGCTACTTATAATATTCAAGTGCCTCCCAGACAAGTATGGGGCATCTACAATATAGGAAACCCTGATCAGGCAAAAATGCAGATAAATTGGGATTTTTGTTTTAAAAGCACGAAAATGAATGTCCAGTCATGACACCTATTCAGACGGTCCAAAAATGTGACAGTCCTATAAAAATTTGAGACATCTGATTAACAACCTATTGAGATACAATCTGACTTCCATGTGACCAAACCGCTCAATTCAAATAAGTTAAAAATTATAAAAATTATCATTATATTAAAAATTAAGAAGCACCAAGCTTCAGGATCTAGTACAATCTGTAGTACACTATCAAATTGATATCTTTTTAGCGGAACTAGACTAGGTCGATCATCGGCGACCAGATAGCTCAATTGGTAGAGCATCCGTCTAGAGTTTGGAGGGTCCCGGGTTTGAACCCCGGTCTGGCCGTGCATTTTTCCTCTCCTGTTACATCTTAATGGTATGTTGTAACAATAAAACATTTTCAGATCAATTTTGTTTGTCTTCACTGCGTACCTTGCCACAACAGCTTCCATAAACTCATCGATGAAGTCGTCGTAGGCCTGGCCCGTCACACGAGGGTGATTGTGACCAATGTATAATGGATCCTTCTGAAGTGTCTAGTAAAATGAAGGAAACAATTTGAAATTAAAAATTAATTGGTTGTGAACATGAGACCCAATCAAATTTGATAAGTGATCATTCTATTTGCTATCATTTTGATTCTTTCAACACCCTTAGAATTCTTACTTCAATGCCATTACTCCCGGAATATTACTGTAAAATGGTTAATTTTGCAGAACATCATCTATTACAAAATGTATTTGCTGATTTCAGGTCTAGTGGCAATGATACAAAGGGCTGAGGTAAAGATCGATACATTTGCTATTAAGTTCATGGGATGTATTTAATACCAGTAATCTCACATGATTATGAAGTTTACCAGTGATACTTTTTTCTAACATACCTCGTTGTTGGTTCCCACATCCAGAACGATGGGTAGTGTCTGGTCGGGTGTTATTCCCCCTAGGGCTGTGTACAGGGCGAGCTTGCCAACAGGGATGCCCATTCCATACACACCCAAGTCTCCAAGACCCAGGATACGCTCACCATCTGTCACCACAATAGCCTGGATACAGATCAAACAGAGTTAAAACAATTCCAAATGACCCATCAGTTTTTTCGTAATGGGTTATTTTCAATTCAGTGCAGAAAATCTCCTGAATTTTCAATATAACAGTTTAACTTGAACTGGTCCATTATTTTTCTAAATCTAAATGATCCTTGCAATGCATCAACATGAGGTGTTAATTTTAAAAAAAAGTACCTGAAGTACTTATATGAATCTTTGTTGCTTTACCATTCCAACAGCTTTAAAAAAAAAATGAAAATCAAAGTGCAATCAGGTTAAATTACTTGTTCTGGACAGAATATACCATAAATGAACTTTTGATTCCTTGCATACATATATTCTGATCTTTTATATGTCTTAAAATGTCAACTATTGTTTGAGAAAGGTTTTTTTCTTTACATATCAAAGAACAATTTTTTATGGTTTTATTGCAACTGTGTTGAACATTTATATTTACAACTGATTTATTGAATTGTTTCTTGCATTTTACAATGTATACTGATGTATCCTCATACTCTTAAGGCCAAACAAAAGATATTTGGGTTTCTGGTAACCCTACCCACCCTTAGTTTTTGTGCCTACCCTAAACTTTTTATGGTAATTTTCAAAGAAGCACATGCTGTTAAAGTCAAGATCACTCTCCTATAAAAACTATATAAAATTATTTGTTTAAATAAAATTTGTTACCTACCTATACTACCTACCCTTAATTTTCCAACATGCTACAGGAAACATATGTTTTTTTTGTCTGGCCTAGGTTTATAACAGCAGAAGTAAATTTTAACCACTTTTGCGGACCTTATCGCAAAATGTTGAACATACTTATAACCCAACACTGTTATGCAAGCTTAAATAAACTCAAATCAGATTACCACTGGACAATTGGGCAGTCCATGTAAAAACAACACTTACATATGTGGCCACAACATATGTATGTGTACACAGTAGGTGATTAATTGGTTACAGTTTACTCCTACAAAGGTACATACACATTTGATTTTCTTTCGAGGTTTAAATCGTAAATGATGACACTCAAAGTACTTTGCACGGCACATTGGATTTGGGTGCACAGCGAAATTTAACCCCCGCAAATATGTACTGAATAAGAAATCACGAAATATTGAGCCCGCGAATTTAAAGCGCTATACAGTAACTATACTAGTATACCACATTACCTTTACATCTTCTTCATGCCAGTTGCACATCATGTCATAGATGTGGCCTTTGTCGTGAATTGAGATAAACAGTCCCCTGGAAAATCATTCAAAATCAACAAAATAGAACCAAGTTCCATAGATAATACGATCAATGTAAGAAGAAAATTCTAGTAGCTATAACAGTTTCTTCCACAAAATGCAAAAAGAGGTGATCCAAGGATATTGTATCATAACCATTTATCAGTTTAACCCTTTCAACCCTATGTAACTTTAGTAGACTCTACCATGCATAGATCTGGATGAGTCCATTATGGTCTACAGTGGTAAAAGGGTTAACAAGATTTTATTTTTGTGTTTACGAAAAGAGTTGAATAACAGTAACTTATGAAATGCAAAACTGTTATTTTGTTATTCTGGCACTGATCTTTATACCTAGTTTTCAGAAGTTGACTTTAAGGACAAACTTGTGTCAACAGATAGACATATGTACAGACAGACACCCTGACTCCAGTATACTCCCAACTTTATTGCAGGGGTCTGTAAATATCAATCTAGTATATCATAAATGCAAGACAAGTTCTAATGCAAATGTCCCTACAAATACATACATGTACAAGAATGAACAAAAGGCCAATAGGTTTTCAAATAATCTGGGATCAATTATACCAATACACTTACATACAACTACATTATTATGATGGCTGTATGTTTTGGCAAGTATCAAGGAAATTTGATAAAAAATAAAGAGATATTCAGGCTAACAAAAAACGTCTATACAATGCGACAGTATCTATAAGGCACCTTGGCTTCCTATAGAGGACTCCGTACTCCTGACATGCCTGGCCGACTGTGGGCGTGTACACAATGGGCATCATTTCCTCTGTGTGTTCTGTCAGACAGCGGTAAAACAGGCGTTCATTACGGTCCTTCAATGCCATCAGGTACACATATCGGTCAACATCTGACTTGCGGTTATGAAAGTTGGCCATCACACGGGTCATTTGTTGATCCTGGTTGATCACACAAGACGGTAGCAGGCCTTGGATCCCCATCAACTGTCTCTCTTCAAGCGTGAAGGCCTGGCCCTGTAACGGGAGATAGTTCTATCAGTTTTAATATTTCAAATGTATAAGCATCTTCAGAGTCCAATGGGTTCCACGTATCATATCACATATAGTATCAACAATAGACCTTTAGAATTTCGCAAAAATTAAAGAATCAGAGTCTCTGTGTGCACCACCTTATGGATGATAAGAGTTGACTTGTCTGGAAAGTGTAACTGAACCCTGTATACCTGTGATCTCAGAATAATGCTTTGATTAATTACCAGGTATATAAACATAAAAGTGAAGTGGGCAGCAGCAGAATGGTAAAACTAACAACCGACTTTGATCTCGGAGAATCTCTTTGATAATCTTTGAAGTACCAAGTAATACTCTATCAGCAATGTGATTGGTCGGGTTTTTTTTATTTTTTTTTTATTGTTTTTTTTTCCAGACAGAAACATACATACATTTTACATAGATTGGTCGGTTATTGATGCCTGGAAGTTGAACCAATCAAACAGCTATCAGGAAGCCTATTTCAGTATTTGATTCTGTCCCAAGGAAATCCAATGGTGCAGAAGATATGTATATTCAACAAGTAATGGTACTTCAAAGATGATGCCAAGGCCAAACAACATGTTTAAACCTGGATTTTATCACTTTCTTCTGTAAAGTGCCTACAATGCTCAGAAATTTTAATTTTGCAAATGTGTGACCTGAAAGACACTGAAATTGAGTCTAAAATCCATGAAATCAGGATTACCCTAAAAAATGTGAAAAATCTGCTGTATGCATTCAGTTTTGAATTTTTCAATTTCAGTCATTAATTTCAGTCAAATCGTAAGATGTTTTTATAAATCAATTGAATATACTGACAAGAATGCTGGTGTTCACCATCTTGAAATGTCAATAAAATATTTGCTTCCTAAGATGATCACATGTACTTCTCCCATCCTTCACAGATGTGTCTCCCGTTTTAGCTTGGAAAGATAAGATAGTCACCCCCTAGGGGGAGATAACCTCGTGCTGATTAGCACGTGTTCATTTGTTTACACTACTGTTATGACTGAAATAATAGGATGGGAGAAAAATAATCATCCCCTACCTTAAGGGTATAACAGAGAAATCTCCAACCATGGGGGTGATTTTTTTGGTTGTCTAACCCTCAGCAGAGCCTCAGGCTAGACAACCAAAAAGCATCACCCCTTGGGTTGGAGATTTCTGTCACACCCTCAGGGTAGAGGAAGATTATATTAAAATCATTTGACGTTACAAAGTAAGAAAGACATGTCACCTTGTTAAGCTTTGGTGTCCGCAGGATGTCAATACCACGCAGTCTGGAATGATTGATGAGTTTCTTCCTCGGTTTATCTTCATCTTGTGTACAAGTCTTTGAACTTGTGTGGAAAGCAGTACTTGATCGAACTTGACTAAAAAATACAAAACATGACCCCAGTGTTATATGCCGATTCTTATAATTTTTAGCAATTCTGACAGTACTGATAATTAACTCTTTGCATCTTTGAAGCGACAATTCTACATTTTCCTTCAAGTTATAACAAGTCTTTAATGTGTTCTGATAATAATACTGAAAATGATTTTGGTGAATAATACTGAATTCAAAATGGTATGGATAATTAGTATTAATAAGAAAAGTCTTAACGTCTTAAAATGAAACGAATTTGTGAGAAGAAAGCTACTGGAAAAAGTAAACATGATGAGCCAGCTTGATTTAAGGGTAGTAGACTGACAATATAGCATTTGTTCCAATCAAATGATGTGCCTGTTGGCCTTTTGGGTGGCTGCAACTCGTGAAGGTATATCAAGCAGGCACTGTGATGCCTCTCATGCTCACTTTCTCTATTTGCATATTTACATTATTTGATCTTGTTTGTAGTTTTTTTAAGATTTCCATTAATAAAACACACAATACATATTATTTTCATAAGATTTATATGATTCTACGAACCCTTGAACATGAGATGAAGGTTACAGACTTAATACACACATTGGAGGGGGGATATGTGTCATCTCTTCATTCGAAGGGAAGGCAAAATGTCTAGAAACCTTAAATCAGACATTAAACTTTAATAGCTTGGTGCAATACTGTACATCACCAACTTCTGTGTACAATAAACATGTTTAGATCACAGGGAAACCTGTCATTTGTCAATGAATGGTTTCATTCCTGTGACGTATTTATGTACTTTACAGACTTGTACCCAGGCAATTGTCCATATCATGCATTACACTCCACAAGGACTTTATATATATATGGAATAATGAAAGTATGGCTCATCTCTCTGTCATGTATGCCCAGACAGACTTTGACCTCAAATCTTTCCCCTAATGGTGGACCAACTGGTGTTTTTTCACCCATATCCTCCATCCACCATCCTTAAATCTTAATCTAACTCTAGTGATGGGAATTATTTTCAGTATCATACTTGAGTGCGGTCTACCTCAATTAACTGATGAGCAATTATAATATTGGTGAGATTTGAGAACACAAAGCAGATAAGACCATTCACACTGCCTGACAGATAGATGTAGTTTTAGTATCATATGACCTTATATATATATCACTGCATTGCGAATTAAAAAGTACAAAAAAAATTGTTGATGTTCATGACATATGCATAGTTTGGTTTATTTTGGTTTAGTATTGTTTAACAACCGATCAACAGCTAGGGTCATTTAAGGACGGCCTCCCCTGTGTGCAAGATGCATGCGTGTAGTGTATGCGTGTGTGTTTTGGGAAGCTGCGATATGTTCGTGTTTGTCTACTTGTGATAGCGCGGAACTGATGCCGATTCGACATAAATTGCATAGAGACTGGCTACAATTTCTCTATTTGTAACTCTTTCCAGATGGATCCACTGTTTTCCACCCACAAATTCTGGGAGGTTAGCATTGCATACACAACCATTATTCCTCTTTGGGAGGTGACTGTCTCCCTGAACCCCAATACAATCTATTTTCCATTCAGTCTAGTACCACTGTCTTATAATTCAGACAAGATCTGTGTGCTTAACTCATTCACCCCTGAAATTTCATAATGAACTATTCCAACCTTTGAAATGGAAGAATTCAAATGTGTCTTTAGGGGTCGATGAGTTAAAGACCGCACAGGCCAGAAGGTCATAATATCGGATGCATTGGTCACTCTTAGACAAAATGTTAATAACATATCACAAAGAGGTGAAATCTGTCAAGCCATACCTGAATTATTACCTCTCATTTCCCCTATAGTACATGTACCCATGGCCATTGGACATTTGCTGAGTGAACAGGATAATGTGTCCGACACTTCATATAGTGTGAATGAACTTTTCAAAATGGTTCAATATAGGATAATGATTTAATTGATAAACAATGTTTCTCTAAAACAATGAATTGATGAAATGCTGTGAAAAGTTTCTCACATTTTTATTGTGGGAGTTTGTTCAAAGTGATGAATCCCTGAGGAGGGTCCGGTCCAGAGGTTGACATGCATGTCATTGAGTCGTCAGTCATTGACCCCTGAGTAATGTCATGCATACACATACAAATATCAGTTTGTGATCATTTTAACCCTAATGTCTGCTAGGGGTTAAGGTTATTAAATTTTCATTACAAACAGTGCTAAGGAATGACCACAGACCTCTCTTTTAACTTCACAATGACTTGTCATATACAGCTCATTTACTTTTTATTTCCTTCCTTTGCTCTTGAGGCACATTAACTGAGGCACAGTGCAGATTTGCACAAACATTAGTTTTACTTGAAATGAATTTAATGTATGTAACTTGCCTTGTACATACAAGAATGGCATGTTTATAGAAGACAAACTTGAATGCAGATTATGAACAATTCTACTACCTCATACAAGCTTTAGTTTCACAATATAACTATTTAAAATGTTCATAGCCCGTGAAATAAAATTTACATGACTTAGTATATATATATACATAATATAGTCTTGTGCTTTGGGTATATGGAGTCGCAGAGAAAGTTCACTGGTACATGTACCATGATAAGCCCCTTAAAAAGCATTTAATAGGTGCATGTAGTTTAACACTAGCTGTGGCAGTTTATTTAGCTTATAAAGATAAATAAATGGTACATGTACACAGGAGGTGCAAGTGACTTGACCATCACTATAGCTGTCGTACTCAACATAGTGTATTAAGCTGGAGAAACCATCAGCATGGTCTGAAACAGGTGTCCAGAGTTTACCAGGTCCATTGTCAGCTCATTGACAGACTTGCTCAAGTCTCAAATGAAACATTAATTTCTCTACCATCAACTGTTCAACTGTTCAACAAAGCCAAAAGGTTTCTATTCCATCAACATCTATGAGGAACACATATAAGCGTAAACGTGTGTGTGTTAAATCAAATAAGAACATTCATTTAATAACACACATGCAGTCTTGCAGTACATTTCCAAAATTCACTGTGATGTGTACCCAATGTGATATTGAGTCGACAATGTCACTGTGCTATACAGCCATTTCGAAAAATCCACCACATTGAAGGTCAAGTTATACCCACTGGTCGTATGTATGTTGGCATTTGTATAACTTACCTGTTCAAAATGGAAGCCAAGTTGCGCGTCCTTTGCAGCTTGATCACCGTTCTGGAAGCCATTACTGACATCAATGGTGTCAAATATGTCAAGTGAAATCAGCTGAGCATCGGCTGCTCACAGGAGAATGCTTAACGGCGCGCAGACTCGCGAGCTTACACACATTTGACACACCTCCAAAAATTACATGCGGAATGCATCGGACTTCATCCTTCACGTTAACAGCTGTAACACACATGTTCTGTTGTTTTCACGTTATGTAACATGTACGGGAAGCACATCACACAGAAAGCATAGTTAATTATAGAAATTCAAAAAATGATGCGAATAATGACACGAAGATGATGATTATAATGATGTGATGATGAGTGGCATTTGATGAATGATGATAAGTGTGCATAATAATTATAAAATGATGATGATAATTGATGACAGTAATGATGATGATAAAGATTATATATATATATTATATAATTGTCATGATGAATGGCTTTTTTATGATGATGCTGATAAGGATCTTTTGATTGTAAGATTTTATGTATGTTTAAAAAAAGTTGAAAAAATAAACAATTACAGAAAAACCCACTTATAAGTAACTTATATATACGTATCACTATAGCTCAGACGATATCTGCCAGTACAAACCCAAATCCGTCTTATCCTTTCCCTTCCTTCAATCTGTTACCTTAATCAAATCAAAAGTTTTATTTAACGTCGGTATGGTTAAGACAATACAACATTAGCTCTAATTCATGAGCTGTTAAAACCGACACAAATCACAGACTTTATCCTCTGAATAACGGCACCGTGGAATAACTAAGTAGATAATTATTAATTATTATGTAATATCAGGGATGTGTAGTACACTAACAAGGTTCTTCTGTACACACAAACCAAAGTGTCAAGACTGACAACTAATCCCTGGTAATATATAAAGTCTGTCATTTGTGCTGCATAAACCCAATTTCGTGACAAAATCTTCAATTAGTTGAAGGCGGTCACTATAGATCTATGGTATAACTAGAACTGTTTCAAATAAATAGGTAAAATAAGTAAGCTTAAATTGGATCAATAAGCCACTTTTTGACTTTTATAGGTAATCCTAGGTAAATGGCACTCACCACCATTCCTATATTATCTACCTTCATATGCTAAAAATAGTCTGTCTCATTTTATGGTAATAGCTGCCTTTTTTACAGTGTATCAGACTATTTTTAGATTTTTATACTCTGTGATATGTGTCAAGGTTAATTAAGAAACCTTTTATTATGATAGATCTATTCTTATTCTCAGTCTTAATTCAAAATACTCTTTTTTTATTTACAAGCTGCATTGTGATCTTAATTATGTGTTTTACTCTAAATTGTGATATCTTGTAATAACATGCCTATTTTACCTGAATAAATATTATTATTATTATTATTATTATCAAATCACGGACTTAGTTAAACTAATTCCGTGATCAAATAACGCGTAGAAGGCTTCATTACCATTACTTCAGCCCGGACAAACATCCCAACCAACCCATTTTTTTTGCGGCTGGGGGTGGGTGAAATGGACCGAAAAATCGACCCATAGCTTGTATGAATCGTAGAAGAAATATATAAAAAAAAACTCACTGTGCGAACAATGGCACCAGAGACGCAGTGGCGGATCCAGAAGGTTTTTTTGGCTTCAGTAAACCACCCATCCTGAGAATTTTCTTTAAAAATCATGTTTTTCACCATTTTCCTCATTTTTTCCTCACATGGAAACACCCCCTGGATATTTGGAATCCCCCCCTAGATAGGTTTCTGGATCCGCCACTGGAGAGGAATATAATTGTAATATATACGTCTCTGATGGCACTGAATGTCTAGTATACGTCTCTGGTATTTGTAACTTTTTTGGCATGTACATAGAAAAATATGATTTTGGTAATATCAGAGACATATAAAGCCAGTAGTATACATACGTCTCTGGTAAAATGGACAACTTACTACCGCGTTTTAATTAAAACTATAGTTGTCGGTTTCAACAAATTTCAAGAAATTATATGTTAAATTAAATTAATACATATGAAGATTTAATGCTTAATTATTTTTTGTATGAAATTATGTTTAATTTCAGTAGCAATACATGGACCTCTTGGAGACACATTTAAATAATTAAGATGGACAATCGGTTAGATCTCATTAGTGAAATTGATAAATGCTGTTTTGTGAAAACTAAAATGAAATATATGTTGGGCGTTCTAGCTACCCTTAAATTCCTTAAACATTGAACTGGTTCATACTCATATTTTTTATTATCTGAATAACGTTGACATCAAGATTTTACTTGGGGATGATTTTAATTGAAAGCATGGGTCAAGTTGTAATAGAAAAGTATCATAAATTCTACTGTTTTGGTCTGAACTAGGGGTTTATTGCTGGTACATACATCTATGGCATGGTAAATGCAAATTTCAAGTTTTTTTCATAGATTATCCGGCATCTGTATTTGAATACGAAAGGGATACATTATATGGATTTTTGTAATTTACCATATACACGTTTCCTCTCTAAAACCTATAAAAACCAGAGACGTGTATAACTACTGGCTTTAGATAATCTGAGATTGTACGTCTCTGAAAAAAACTTTCACTAGACAGTTTCACTTGGAACTAAAAAATTGCGGGAAAATTACATTAGTCACACGATTTACCTCCCTTTGCACAGCTCTCCACTATACACACCATTAACAAAGCTCATCATCATAGCTCATAGCTTGCTTGTGTAAAATGTAAACAGAAGGCACAGTATGTGACGGAGATCTTAGGTAAGCCACTATTTTGTTACGTTCATTGAGCACAGTGTTACTTATAACGACAAATTTTGTTGTTTTTAAACCGTTTTTTCCATTGACGTTCAACAGAAATTAATCATTGTGAACCGGTTGTTTGGGAACCAAAGATGCCCGAACTTGAATCATGAATGAGCATGAAGTTGGGAAATGGACAGGTCATAACATAGGCTACCACCGCCATAGTGTGTTATATCTACCTCACCCGATTATACGTATGATTTTATTACTTTTAGTATATTAATGTGTCTTTGTTTATCACATCGTAACAAACCAAAGGTGTTTGAAATTCTGACTGTAAATTGAGATAAAAATCATATAAAAAATAAGGGTATTATTTTTTTATATTAATACCCTTATTTTTAATATGAGTTTTATCTCAATTTACAGTCAGAATTTCAAACACCTGTGAACAAACGTAGAGTATCAGCAGTAAAGTGTGTTGTTGAATAATTCTGGCTCTGTATTGGAAAGAGTTCCTAAAGGTGGCCAGAGTTGATATGACCAACACCGAACCAGAACTCTTTCCAAATACAGCTCA